GCAGAAAATGTCCAAAAACTCACAAGTTCAATGGATGCAAGACTTGTGAAGCTGCTATCAAATAAGGGGTCCTATGTTAAAATGTAATGTGACCTGGTAAAATGTTTAAAAAGTTAAAATGTTGTTAAAAGTTTGATTGAAATCGCTTTTGATTTCAGTAAATATGCTGCAAACACAACAAATGAAAATTTTCAGTTCTTTACAACCTATAAAGTGTTTTGAAACTTACTGTGCGTAATAATTTGGAACAGTGCATTGGAAGTTTTTTATGTTTAAAAAAAAATCCTGTTATCATTAGGAGGTTTGTTCAATAAAATTTGAATTGTAGTCTTAATAGTTGATAACATGAGAATTATGCTGACTGTTATTTACATCAATTATTTAGGTAAATGAGAAAAATATAATTTGCATAATAATTTGGAACAGGGTGTAGAGCTATGATCTGTTTCAAAAAACACATTTTTGTTTAGTTTAGTTTTGTTATTATCAAAAGAAAACCTGGCCTAAAAAAGTTTAAAAAAAAAATAAAAATTTAAATTTAGCTGTAAATTTCTTGCTGCTACCATAAGCTTCCAAAGGAGGAGGCAGGTCCATTTGAGACAGTGCATATCAGGAAGGAGCCTACGTGCTGACATCATGCCGCTGAGTCCATGTTTTTGGTACGGCAGCCATGTTTGTAAGTGCAGCCGCATTTTTCACGTTCGACGTGGAGTATATTTGTTTTTAACAAATTTTAATAAATACTACACTATATACCTCCATCTGGGGCTCTGTGTGGTGAGCTCTCCTTTTTTAGGACACATTACTGAAGGCCACGTACCAGCCCTTGTGAGGAGCAGATATGTATACCTTGGAGGATTATTTACGACAAGCCTGTTATACTTACTGTAAGTTCTAATTAGTGCATAGTGGTGAAGGGTTTCACGGATGTCTTATTTCCACATTGGGATGTCACTTCATTCTATTCAGGACTGCGGTTCATACTAATTGTGGGTGCAGCCTTTATGCCACTGAGCACCTTTTGCAATGAAGGTTATTGGATTATTCATTTGGACTATTTGTTGAGTCACTATTATTTATGATTGCACATTTCATAATTTATGTACATTTATCATCTTGGCATGTAGCAACCTTTATGGGCTACTGTGTCACATTTCATTTATATGGGTTGATTGTTTTCTGGTTTTCAGGTATATACATTTCTTATTAGTTCATATAGTTCAGCACTTTTATTATGTTTTATTGTGATGTGGAGTGGGTTCACCATTTGTGCTAGCTACTCTCTGTTCTTTCTCTTAGCGCTCACTTTTTACAGTTTTTGTTTATTCGATACAATATAGTTGTGTTGTGACAATTGATTTATTTTGCATTTTGAATGTACTTTGGTCGAATCCTGTCTAGGTGGCATTCCTCTGCTTCTGTACTTAACAAAAACTTTTGTTATAAATAATGTTTAAAAGAAGAAAATTATGACGATTTCTAGCTTTTTCGCCTGTCTTATTTACAGAACATTTGTTCCGTTCCAGCATTCACATCCATGTGCAGTGTTTGCTAGCCAGATTTATAAATAGCAGCCAGTTTTGCCAGAGAAGGTTAGGAAGTCACCAGGGTTCTTCTTGCCTTTTACAAATAGACCTATGAGTAATCAGAAATAACAGTTGTTAAAAAAAAAAAAAAAAAAAAAATAGTCCTACTAGTGAGCCGGATTTTTATTGCCGTAATAAATATAGTGATAAATGCCACAAGTGTTATATCCGTTTTACATTACATATTTGTGAGATTTCATTACAAGCCCTCCAGTCCCTTATAGAAATACGTTAACTTGATTTCATAGTGTTGCTGTTTGTTGTAATATCATTCTTCTGTGTTTACAAGGAACAAATTGCTTATTATCTTTTAGGACCTTTTCACACGGGTGGACCGATTGGGTCTACCTGTCAGTTTTTAGGTGGACCTGATTGGACCCTCCATTCACCTCTGTGGAGTGGTGGGTGTAAACGGGCACCTCCCTACATCCAATGCGATCCGCTGAGAACACTCAGATGGGGATCTGTTCCCCATCTGGTCTGTTTACATCCGACCACTCAAAGAGGAGAGCTGGCTTTGTCTGTGTCCACTTTGTATAAGCGGAATGGACACAGACCAGCCACCCATCTGCTAAGTGGGGATCAGCGGACAGGTCACCTGCTCAGCTGGTGGAGTCCAACCCATCTGGAAGGAGCCTAAGACAACGTTTTTAATTGTGCAGCTTTTCTGGACACCTTGGGGTTTATTTACTAAAGCTGGAGAGTGCAAAATCAGACTCACTTCTGCATAGAAACCAATCAGCTTCCAGGTTTCATTGCCAAAGCTTCATTGAACAAGCTGAGGTTAGAAGCTGATTGGTTTCTATGCAGAAGGGAGTCTGATTTTGGACTCTCCAGCTTTAGTAAATAAACCCCCTTGTGTTGCCTTCCCATCAACAATGCTGAGAGTTTGAAATCTGATAATTATAAAGTGTAGAAAAGGTTTAATTTCTGAGCAGTGCATAAAGTTGGCCCAACATGGCTCAGTTTTTTTCCATTCAGCCAGTAGGAACAGATTCCCCCATCTATACAATCTAGGTAGATGTAGGAATCCTCCCCACTGTGTCATTGTATTCTTTAAAGCAGAGGAGTCAGCTGAACTCCTCCACTGTCAGAATACACTGATCAGCCTATTGGCTGCATTGCTGATCATACTAAATTTTTCCAGCAAGACTGTTCATGAGGAGTCAATCAGTTGATCGACTGCTCTTGAATAGGATCCGTCATATATGGATTGAAATTCGTCCAGTCCCTGCTGAACTGTCCAAATTTCAATCCATCTGTGGCCAACTTAATCCCTGGTTCACACTGTGTGGACTGGTTGCTGGTACTGGAATTGCATCTGTTCCTACACCCACAACCTTCTGCGGCCAAATCGCGCTGCTCTTACGAGACGTGTGGGGCTGCCATGCATTCTTAAATGCAACCCCATGCTTCTTAGAAGCGCATTTGCCTGTGTGGGAACTGCAGGGAAATAACATGGTCAAAAGGACCATGCGATTTTCCTGCAGGCCACATTTTTTAAAAGGCTGCATGTACCTTTTTTCTGTGGGAAACGCGGGCACAGCAAACCATTCAACCATTTGCACAGCACGCAATAGTGTGAACTATTGCCAAGTGTTAACAAGCCTTTACAGATTCCATCTCCCTTCAGTTCACTTTACCTGCACTAAAAAAAAAATATAATTATGAAGTACACTCTGGTATATTAGCAGCCACTCTCTAAGGGTGTTAATTGCATTAGACATAGAGAAAGTCACTACAGGTTTAATCTACAAATCTTTATAATAAAATATGTTCATGAAACAGCAGTTAGTGAAGCATACATAACGGCAAACTTATTTTCAGATAAACTTGAGTAGACTGCTGCTCCATCATTGTCAAGACAGCAGCCTTTGGATTCTGCAACAATATAGACCTGGTTGTGCTGTCTGGCAGAGGTGGCTCTATCACAAGACTGGCTGAGCAGAATTACATATACAATAAGGCTGTTAATTTTATATATTCCAACTAAGTATTTGCAGAGTTTAGTTTTAGTAACTGAAAATGTGTCCTCTCTGATAACACATTATACCTTCCCTTCAAGTTCTTCAAGAATGCTCTCCACAAGTGTTCTTTGAAAGCTTTGTGCTTGGTAAAGTGTTCTAATTTTATCAGTGCATATCTGGCATTGAAAGAAAATTTGCATGCTGAGTATGTCCATCTCTTTCAACATGTGAAGTTACTAAGTGCTGTGCCTACATTGATCGCGGGCAAAATAATTTATGTTGCCTGTAAAGTGCTCTGCAGCATTAAAGCAGTTTTAATAGTCCATCAGATTTTCAGCTGTCATATAAGATATAGTGGAAAATAGAAGACAAGCCCTTTTACATTACAGATTTTATGGGTAAAAAAAAGCATTGTATTTGCTGTCTTTGAAATGGGTAAGCTGTACTCTTCTTTATAAAATTACTGTAAACCTGTTATGTGAGCGATATGGACAGCAGCAATTGTGACCTCCTTATGAATATGATGGTTGACTGGCTGTTATTCTGACTTTCCATTTCAGTACTTTAAAGCACAAGCCCAGTGAATGTGTGCATGTCTGCTCCTAGTCAGACCTTTTCTGACATCTAGATTGTGCCTGCACATCCAGACATCTGGAGCCTGGGCCTGGTTTACAAGAATGCCATGGAGATTATTTTTGTTTTTTTCTATCAAAGCATAAGTTCACCTTTCTACAAAAAATAATGCGTGCACATTATTTTGCAGGTAAAAAAAATGAAGTGCATTTATTATTTTTTGTGTTAGGAGCCTCTAAAGCATTGCACCATCGATCATCAGATCGCTGATGCCATACAGGTCTCCTGCACACTGTCAATGTATCTGCTTGCTTGTACATCCCGTATGAGCAGGCTAATACGTCTGACCGGAAGATTTAATGAACTATTATAGCACTGACAGTGCCATGGTAGTTCGTTGAGGACTACAAGCCAATAGCTGCTAAGGCTGTTGGAACCTGTAGTCCATTCATTCACAGAGGACTGTGAATGAATGATGCAGTCGTGTGGGCAGAGCCCTGCATGGCCGCGCTGTTTTTCAAAAGTGACAGCTAGTACGATGAACTGCTCCCCGTACTTCTATAGCTAAAGGCTTCTTTATAACAGATTGACAGCTACAGGCTTGTGAATCAGCAGTGATAATGCTGATAGCCACACCCCTTTTTTATCCCACTGTAGTGCAAGGAGGTGACACTGCTCTAAATTCAGGAGCAGTGCAGCATTGTTTCCCCACTATCAACATAAGCTACCTTAGGACCTCACTGGTAGGAACAGGTATTTGTGGGACTTCCAGAAAACTGTAATATAATTATGGGCTGCTGTACATATTTTTGTAATTGGAGGCTGTAGTTCTACATTTAGAAAGTAATTGTAAGTCTTGTCTTTTCTCTTGCAGTACACTGTGTGGAACTTCATTCCAAAAAACCTGTTTGAGCAGTTCAGAAGAATTGCAAACTTTTATTTTCTTATAATCTTCTTAGTACAGGTAAGTCTTCTTTTAGAATTTGTATGTGGTTAAATGGACAGCATGACTTCGGACTTATTGACACCAACCCATATGCTAAAACGGTCCATTTTAGCATGAGAACCAGTGCCCATTGCGTAAGAGCGATAAAGGAAGGAGTCTTGCCTTGTTAACGTTTAGTGTTCATTGTATGAACAAGTTCTTAAAGATGCACAGTTAAAGGACCATTGCATTTTGAACAGAGATAAATGGATGAATTTGCCCTCTTCTTTTTTTTTTTTTTTTTTTTTTTTCATTTATTTGGGCACCCCAGCAATTAAACCCCAGGAGATCTCACCACTGAGGCTACCAAGCGAAACATAAGAAGCCAGTGGATGATGCAGCTAATTTGCATCCATCTGTAACTGAAATACAAGATTTGGTTAGATTGTCCCTTTAATGATATTATAATGCATTATGTGAACAAAAATAATTTAATACACTAAAGAAGTATTCCCGGTATGGATATTTTATACATACTGGTAGTTACATTGGTTCAGCTTGGATACATACAAGCAATTTAAAGAATCATTACAGGCATCGGCATGTTATACATAGTTTATATTGGTCCAGCTTGGACCAATTTAACTCTGTGTATACTATATCTGACCAATGCCCCTGAAAGCTGGAAATCACTGAGAGACTGCTACTCCAGTGATCTTCACTTGCTTCCAGGTTCCATGCTGAGCACCTGCTATGCTGCTTTCTGAACACAGAAGGTAGGGTGCTCAGCACAGGTACCATCCAGAGAATTCTGTGTATTTCTGAATTAATTGCAAAGTGTTTTGTGATTGAAAGAGGTTGACAGGTGGGGTTGTTGCGTCACGCTTTCCACCTCATCCAGTCAGAGAACACTTTGTGTTCACAGAGAAAATGTACAGCATTCTGTGAATGGTGCTTATGCTGCGCAGCAAACCTCCTGTGTTCATCATGCATCAGGGCACACGCTTGGAATGAGAATTTGAAAGCAGGTGGAGATCACTATAGTAGCAGTGTCTACTTCAGTGATTTCCAGCTTCCAGGGGGTGTCAACCACGTAGGGTATATACATAGCTATATTGATTCAAGCTATGCCAATGTAGCTATATACAGTAGAAAATATACCATAACTGGAATATCTCTTTAACAATGTGTTTTGATAGCATGTAAATATTATATCCAGTTTTCATATCTTATACAAGAACAAAAAAACAAACACTTTATGGCCTCAATAATACATGCGCACTGTCTGTGTCCGGTGTCTCGCACCCTCACAACTTTCAAATTGGGACCAGCACATGTACAGCCACTGCATCTCAATATACATGAATGGGACTGCCTGCATGTGAATGACAAATCAACGGTGCATCTCGTATGGGTGAAAAAAAAGCATATTCCTGCACCCGGGAGTGTTGCGTACAGTCAACTGTACAAATCAATGACAGTCTGCCGTTGTAGACTGGTAACTGCACGTCCAAGCATCTACAGAAGTACTGTTACGTGTTACGGCCCCAATGCCAACAGTTTGTGCCCAGGGATGCACATCCCTGCGTATTCAGATGTGCGGTTACCCGTATATAGCCGCAGTCTGTAACTGATTTGTACAGGCGGCTGTATGCATTACCAATGACTCCTGGGTGCATAAATGTGTTCATTTTCTCTTACACTCATTGATGGACACAACTTCTCTTCATTCTTGACAGTAGGGTTTATATATCGCCACCTACAGAAGTAGGACTCTAGGGAGAAAAATAAACACAGCCCTGCCTATGGGCAGTCCTAGCTGGTATAAACCCTCTCTTTGCTGTAGGCATATCCAGTTATTTCTGCCTAGTGTTTAAGGAGCAAGAACCGAATTCCCTGCTGAAACCTGTGGTTCAATAACTTTTCCTTTTTTTCCTGGGATTCTTTCCTGCTGAGATATTCAATCAATAGCTTGGCTGGGCAACAAGCTAAATAATCTTAATCCATTAGTCACCCCATTCTGGCCACTAAGTGCATGCAGACCCTTAGCTACATGCTTAGTTTGCTGCAAAAGCCCTGTCCTGGACCAGGGCACCAGCAAGTGAAACATATAATAAGAGTACATTGGCCGGATGCCACAATGTTACCCTGGCCGGCATCCCCCCCACATTGGTGAGAGGCAGATTTGTTTCTGGAGCATCACCCGCTATTTCCGCTGAACTGCTAAGTAGATGGGCCCCCCTTTCTCGGACGCAGTGCGGGATGCAGGGTGGTATTTCGGTGGAAGGCGAGCTAAAAGCATCCTCTGTCCATACTCTTCTCCTCTGATGTTTCTGAGCCTGAATAGGGCTCCATTGCCTAGGGCCCAGCTTTCTCTGCGTGCCCTGAAGACACAATCCCAAATTTCTCAAACAGAGAGGATGAGTCCTCTGCCTCTCTTGCCTTGCAGGAAAATGTGGCCACACATTAACTCAGTGCAGGAAATGTTGAAAATTATTGATACCTTAGGGGCTGATGAAGTATTGGCCTGTCCCCTTTGATATGCACAAGCCGGCTCATTCTGCTTAGTTTGACAATTTTGTTTACAAGGATTAGGAAGTCCGAAACACCTCTTTTGAGGTCCCTAAGCTTTTTTTCGGTACGGTATCCTTTTGAGGAGGTTCTTCTGAAGTAGTGGAAGTAGTCTGAAGAAGAACTGACCTCTTCCTGTACTGAACCCCCCCCCCCCCCCCCCCCCCCATTTCTGGTTTACATGGAAAGTGCGGACCTGTTGGTCAGGGCCTTAAGTACAATACATCATTAGATGCAGCCCCATTGCTGTCCAAGCTCTTTGCCTTGGTGTTAGTGCGTCAATGAGTTATTTGGCCCAAATGTTGGTCTGACCTGTCTTCAGAAAAAGGCTCTTGCGGACTTTCCCTTCCAGGGAGAACGTCTCTCTTGTGCCACCTTGGATGACATCATCCAGAATCTTACCAGTGGGATGGGTACCTTTCTCCCATTGTCTGATTGTTCAGATGTCTGTTAATACCATGTGTTTTGTGCGGCATGTATTCTGCATTTCTAAAGCCTCATAACTGCCTGTCAATGCCTGCTTAAAATATTACAACATTACCACATATTGCTGTCAGTGGTAAAGCTCTTTGTATTGGCAAAGACCTCATCAGCAAGTGTCGGTCCTTGGAAGGGACAGTGTCAGCAAATGTCTTGCGGCTGTTATTAATGTATCTACTGATAGAAGAGGAATTATATGACCCAAGTATCCTGAGCTATTGTGACGCATACCAAAAAAAAAAACAGATCTGGCAACATGTCACCAAGCGGTTATTATCCTTAGACTGGGAAAAACTGTCCTCCATGGAGCAGGAGAGCATTAATGAGTATGATTATATGGCTGCTGTTTTTCATTTTATATACGTATTGTAATATACCCTAAATCAACATATCAATTTTAGATAATTTCCCCTTTAAGCACTTCACACTAGAAAAGCAGCACTTCGATGGGCATTTATCGAGCATTTTTGAAGCGTTTTCAACGCATCATAAACACAACAAAAGCACATCATAAATGCCATAGGAGCGGTAATGAGCATTGCTTCATTCCCCCCGTTCCTCAAACAAGGGATCCAAGGCCCCTGTGGGTGGCATGAAGTTCTCCTGGTCTCACAAATGCATGAAGCCTGCAGATACGTCCTCCTTGGGATGAAGGCTTTTCAAGGGTGGGGGGTCATCTTTGTTGGTTGCAAACCTGTGGACCTCTCTACTCTTCGACATGTGGGTCCATGAACTGCGTCTGGCTACAAGATAGAATTTCGTTCCAGTTCACCAGAAAAATTATTTATTTCCAATCTTCGTCTCTCTCCACCCCGCCTTCAGGGTGGTGTAGGGTTTGCTACTCCAGAGGAAGATTACCGGGTACAGAGAGGTTTCAGGGGTTTTACTCCATACTGTTTATGGTTCTGAAGAAGGAAGGAGTTCATATGATCCTGGACCTCAAGGCCCTAAATTTTTTTTTTGTGAAGATGCAGAAATTCAATAGATGGAATCCATCCTTTTGGGGGTTGCCTCCCTTTATCATGGGGATTTCCTGGCCTCCATAGACATTAAGGATGTTTTACATGCATGTTCCCAATTGTGATTGGTACCAGTGCTTCATATGCTTTGCAGTCAGGGACTTGCATTATCAGTTTGTCACGCTTCCCTCTGGCCTGGCATCTGTTCCTCAGGTTTCTACCAAGGTGATGGCCCTGGTCTTGGTGTTGTTGAGACGGGGGGATTGCCGTGATAGACTGGATAATCTTCTCCTGTAAGTGAAGACTCACTTGCCACTGGTGGACAACATGGTAATCGTTATGCGCACTCTGCAGGAATTTGGATGGGTCCTGAATCTCCAGACATCTGCTTTGACCCCAACCAGGAGGCTGGAGTGTCTGGATCTCATTCTCAATTTGGTGCAGGCCAAGGTTTTCCTTCTGGTGGACAAGCTATAGAAAATTCAGGCTGTAGTTTGGATGCTTCTGTCCTGCAAGTGGTTTTCCCTTGTGATCTTGCTTGCAGGTCCTGGGTCTCCTGTTGGCCACCTTCAAGGTGGTCTCATATGCACAGTTCCATACAAAGGTTCTGCAAAGGGAAATTTTGTCTGGTCTCCATCTCTTCTGACCTGAAAGTCCTTTCACCATCTCCATGGGATGGTGATTACGATGTACTCCAGCATGTATGGGGTTGAGATCGGCTCAGGGCCGCATGATTCTGGAGGAGACTTGATTGTCGATCATTGTCCAGGAGCTTTGTGCAATGTTTGTGTTATGTCTGGAATAGTGGACAGAGCTTTTTCAGGGGAGTGTAATGGTGCTGGAGTTTCATTGTCTGCTCTCTATGCTGTGTACATTCCAGGTGTAGGAAACAGTCAGACTATTTCAGTTGTTGGACTCTGAATTAGGGGGGGTGATCTCTGCACCTAGACATGTTTGGTCAGATCTGACTATGATAGGGCACCCAGGACGTAGAACTGACATTCCACCTCAACAGGAAAGTGTCATGGTTTGTAGCATCAGCGAGGGAACCCTTGGTGGATTCGATGGATGCTCTGGTTACAATGGATTCATTATCGTCTCATTTATGTGTTTCCTCCTCTCAGGCATCTCCTTTGGTTGCTGCACAGCATAGAGGCTAAAGAGATTCTGTTCATTCTCATGGCTCTGGATTGGCCGTTTGACCCTGGTATGCTGAGGTGATGCGGCTGGTTGCGGATGTTTCCTGGCGGCTGCCTCTTCCACCCTGGATTATCGTCTCTGGTTTTGACAGCCTGGTGTTTGAAAACTGAGTTATAAGAGACAGGGGGTTGTCAGGCTAGGTTATCCCTACCATGGTAAAGGCACATAAGTCTACCTCTCAAAAGATTTATCATCACACTTGGAAGGCTTATGTCTTGTGGTGGGAGGCTACAAGTGTCCACCATGTTCCTTCTTGGTGGCTTGGATTTTGGGCTTTTCGCCAATGAGGTGTTGACCACAAGTTTGCCTAGAATACCATTAAGGGTAGGTCTCTGACCTTGTTTTGTTTCTAATATCCCTTGGCCATGCACTCCTTAATTTGTACCTTTTATCTCAGGGGTTCAATATGTGTCACCCTCTATGTGTGCTCTCCATAGCCACAGTGGGACCTGAGCCTGGTTCTTTCGGTTCTTCAGAAGCCTCCTTTTGAGAATAATAAAGAAATTCCCCTTGCTTACACTCTCTCATAAAGTTGCTTTTTGATTGTAGTCATTACGCACGCCACATGTCAGAGCTAGAGGCCTTGTCCTGTGGGTCTCCCTATTTGGTTTTACACAGAGATAAGATGGTTCTTTGTCCACCCTCTTTTCTTTCCAAAAGTGGCATCTTATTTTCATCTGAATGAGGACATGGTCCTACTTTCTCTGTTTCCACATCCTTTATACCATAAGGAAGCAGCTCGGCACTCCTTGGACATTGTCCAGGTGGTCCTGTGTACCGGTCAGCTACAGCTTCCTTCCAGAGGTTGGATTCTCTTTTTGTGATTACTTACAATAGACCAAAAGGTCTGGCGGCCTTCACTGCCATCATTCATCTATAAATCAGGCAGACGGTGGTTCAGGCTTTTGCCATTAAGGGTCAGGCATACAAATTAGTGCCTCTTGGGCTTTCGACATCAGGCGTCTGTGTCTCAAGTTTGCAAGGTAGCTATATGGTCGTCTATGAATACCTTTAACAGGGTTTCACAGTTGATGTTTTTGCATCTTCAGATGTTTTTTTTTTTTTTTCTTTTGATGGTTGCCTGTTTACCTTTTTTGCACCTGTTTTGTTTCCCAACTCTCATTGAGGTACTGCTTTGGGATGCCCCTATGGACAAGAATTAAGAAAAGCTGTGTCTGTCAATGAATGTTTGAGAAAACAAGGTTTTTTTTCTTACTCACTGTAAAATCCCCTTCTCCGAGTTCATTGACAGACACAGTGCCCACCCCAGCTTTTGATCTTTTTTTCTTGTACTGCTTTGTTACTAACTGGTTTGCCTGTAGCATAGCGGGGTTTTATACCAGCTACGACTGCCCATAGGCAGTGCTGTGTTTTTTCTTTTGGGGGGGGGTTTGCCTACTGTCCTATTACTGTGGGTGGCGCTATATAAACCCTGTGGTCAAGAAGGAAGAGAAGCTGTATCCATCAATGAACTTCGAGAAAGGGATTTTACTGTAACAAGAAAATCCAATTTTTACAATGTATGCCATGCATGCACAAGCCCTTACCAAAACTACATAATATGAGGACATACCTAAACTAGTGATTCAGTCTGTATTCAGTCAGCAGGACTTTGCATTATGTAGTGTCTGCTAGACCTTAAGGATATTGTAGGATCAGATAGAAAAGTGCGTGGTGAGCTTTAATCACGCTGACTTTGTGCTTATGTGAACAAGTTGAACATTACTTCCTGTTAGTCATGGTGATTGTGGATTTTTTTTTTTGCCAGATATAGTTCTACTTTGTATATAATATTTTACGTCAAAGCTAATACATATTTACAATGTTGTACTATGCTCATATTTTACCTACTCGGAGATTTGGAGTCTGCTGTGTTTTGCTCAGTGTTTTGCTTGTGTAATATCTTTTTAACAAAGAACATTTTGTGCTTTTCTTCTTAGGCAATTGTTGATACACCAACAAGCCCAGTAACAAGTGGCCTTCCTCTTTTTTTTGTTATCACAGTAACAGCTATCAAACAGGTAATGAACTCAAACACAGGCCTCGGTTATGTCTGTTTCATCTTGGTTGTTTTGCAGAATTCTGGAGGATCTTGGGTGGAGTTTCTTCACTGATGGTGTTCAAAGGGAAAAGTGGGATTTGAATGAGTAGCCTGTACAATCATTGGGTGTCTTTTGCTGCAGCTGCTGAAATAACATTTGAGTGTAGTAGTAGCCAATGTGGTGCATTAGTAACTTCTTGATCTCCGTGTTGTTGCTTGGATCTGCAGAGATGTAATAACCTAACGAGTTTTAGGCATAAACAGTAATAATAATATGTTTCAATTATTGGGCTTTGGAGCAATTGCTGCTTAAATAAAATCTGCAATGTGCTGGCAACTCTGAACAGTGAAGTCACTCTTAGGGATGACTGATTGTTGCATCAAAGGAGTGACCAAACAGAATTACATTGTGGGAAGTAGAAGAGTTCACATATAAATATTTCAATGCTATGTTTTTAGCGGTTGGCTGTGGTTCTTCTTTTTAAAGCCATTTAGACTGGATCAACTCTCTTCTTATTCTACATTTAATACTCCTTTTTCCAACAGTGTTTTTTTATTCTTATTTTTGTTTTGGTTTTTTTTTACTTTTTTGTGTTGCTCTGACCACAGTGACTAAGATTTTCTTAGTAGAAAGAAACATCTTTGTATAACTCCAGAAAGTGGATCCAACACCTAATGCCTAAAATATATGTTAGGATGACAGTACTACATCTGAGCACCACAAACCAAAAACACTAATTCATTTTTAATATTCAAAGCAAACTTGCCCATCCATCCATGTCTCCCTTGCTTTATTTTGTTGAGAAATTACTTTGAAAAACACACCCTAACATTTCTGGCCATGGCCATCTTGAGTAATGGCAGATGATTCTTGTAGCATTTACTCCCTGGAATCCATGTGCACTTAGCTCAGGCATGCAAGCAGGAGGGTGTGTTTTAGCTGAGAAATCCTCTCCTGGACCCCTAGGATGTATGACATAATTAACTTAGGCACGGAGGCTAGGAAGTAACTGAAGAAATGTAAAAAAAAGTTTAAAACAAATAAATATGATATATTTACCTGTCTATTTTTATTAATGCTTGCAGCATAAGGATTAAAAATAGTCAATGTTGACTTGGAGAGTGAAGTTCTGCTTTATTTCAGTCCACTTCTTTGAAGCAGCCAAAGCAACAAATATATCATGCCTCATAGTGAAAAGGCATGGGACACAGCACACTGGGGACAGCCACACCGATCGATGAATGAATGAGAAGTGGCTTCAGTCTGTCTCTTCCCAGGCCACGCCACTGACCTGTTTTGCCCCACCAACAGGGATTAAAGGTAGAGGTGCAACATAACTATCGGGGTTTTATGCATCATTAGCTGCCGTTGACAAACTGAACATTATACTAATAAACAACAGCTGGGCAAAAAGTTAAAGATAGGAAAATAAGGCAACACTGAGAGCAGTGTCTGCTTGTCCAATATTTCTTCAAACAGAGACACATGTGCAATGTAAATACAGACATACGAATGGACAATTCCAGCTGTATCATAATATCTGAAGCTCTAATAATTGCACGTGAAAAAAGTCCAACTTTACATGAAATGAACTTATAAATAAGAAAATACTTGGAAAAATAGTTTGTTTTGAAAGGGTTCATGCAGCACATGTGCCTCAGATTGAAGCAATGTTGGACAAGCAAACATTGCTTTCAGTCTTGCACTTCCACCTCTGCTGTGTTGCACTTCCACCTCTACCATTGAGCCCTGTGGTTGTGGCAAAACACATCAGAGGAGAGTGACCTGGGAGGAAAAAGGCCAAATTCACTTTTCATTCATTGATTCATCAATGCAACTGGCCTTTGTGTTTGGTGTCCCATTCCTTTTCACTATGATGCCTTGCTTAAAGCAAACTGAAATGAGCTTCTGGGGGAACCCGGCACCCGTTATCACCATGAAACACCAAATGTATTTACATTAATGCTTTGCTGCTGCATTTTTACTGTCACTTTCATGGTTTTTATTGAAATAAATGGAACAAAAGTGTATTGTGTGTGTTTATAAAACAGAAGAAAAAAATGATATTGTTGTGCATAAACCTTATGTAAGCCCATGGAAAGCAGCAATAATATGCATTGCAGTAAGCACATAGATGTGTGAGGGTTTGTTTGTGCTGTTTCAGTGAAATATATACAAATGTTGGTGTTATAGATACTTCAGATGTTTGGATTAAATATGGTTGTCAAGATGTGGCTTTTGATCCATGCAAAACATATTTATTTTTCTGACAGGGCTATGAAGACTGGTTACGACATCGAGCTGACAATGAGGTTAATAAGAGCACAGTGTACATCATTGAGAACTGTAAGCGTGTCAAGAAAGAGAGTGAAAAAAATCAAGGTAAATGACTAACGTACCTGTAAACCATAAGTGATGGTAGCACTAATTCTTTCAGCTTTGCTAGAAGCAGTCTCTAATTTCTTTTTTTTCTTGTGATCGAAAATGAAGAGGTTACTAAAGCTACAAAAATTCTCGTATGACAGAACACAGCTTCAGAAGTGATGTCATGTAATTGTATTGTAATGCATTCTTTCATTTCTGAGCATACGTGGCCTTGGTCTTCCAAGTTTTTTTTCGGAAGAATAATGTACTGATTGAAAGAAAATCGTTAGTTCTGGTAATGTACTAGAAAAACATGTTTGTCCCTTCAGATTATTTCGCCTGAATGATCAGATTATCGTACGATCACTTTGAAAGCGATATTTTTGGATTGTGTAAAGGCTTTGTTTAGGGTGGCTCCATTCTGTAGAGGAGCAACAGGGACACCTCTGGACAGCAGCATTGTTAATCTGGAGGGAGGGTAGTGTTGGATTCCACCACACCTACCACACTGGTAGGCTGTAATACAATACATTCTTGTGTTTTGGGTTTAATACCTCTTTAAGCTACGCCAGGCATCGGGGATGTCTACAGACTGCACAAACATGGATGCTTACGCAGTGATCATGCAGTGTTTGGTTGATAAACCACATAGGTATGTCTGACTTTCATCCTGAATGTCTATTTGCAGAAGTGTGCAAACGAGTGCATATGAGGGACGGACACATCTTATATCTGAAGGCTTCTGTGTTTCCTCCCAACTGTTCTGCATTAGGCCACCCCATTTCCTAAAATCCCATAGTAACCGCTAGTCTCCCATATGGAAGAAAAATATATTTTAAATATATTTGACAAATATTATTCCCAAATATATTGCCATATATTTGAATACTGCAATTTTGGCCATATTCAATATATTTCAATAAAATAAATAAACACACACACACACACACAGTATGTTGAAATGCGTTTGTATTACAAGATATATGAAAAATATTTTTAAAAATACATTTCAAATATGTTGCATGTCTTTAAAATACAAATCTACATTTTTGGAATGAATTTACAAATATATGTAAAAATATATGTTAAAATTACTTTGTGTGTGTATATGTATATATGTGTGTGTGTGTGTGTGTGTGTGTGTGTGTGTGTGTGTGTATATATATATATATATATATATATATATATATATATATATATATATATATATATATATATATATATATATATATATATATTATATTGAAATATATATGAATATATATATAATATATATTTTATTGAAATATATTGAATATGGCCAAAATTGTAGTACTTCAAATATATTATTCTTCCATGTGGGATTGTAAGAGAGCTGGAGATACTCCACCCCACCCAAAGCTTCCCTATGACGTGAAGAAACTTGCACAATAAATAATCATTTGATAAGCTCAAGGAGTCTCATTTTAAAAGGTGCGCTTCAGTGAGTATATCTATTTAAAAAAAGAAAAGAAAAATCCTATAATTTAGATATGGTATCTTACTTGGTTTATGTTACACTGTAGCTGTACAGTAAAACTGCTCTCATATGACTGTTTTTTCACTAGTAGGCATGTGTTTTTCCAATTCTTTGAGTTCCTCGATGTGCGGTTCCTATAAACTAACAATTTAAGCTTCACAGAAAGTTGCATTCTTAACAGAGTATGACAGTGTAGTTTGTTCTCCCTCATTAACTGATGTGAACAGACCATAGCTGCTTCTGTAATGTGTGACTTTCTTTATACTGTGACCTTTAGATTATCGTATACTAGCAAAAGATGCTTGTTTCTAATCTGTAATGAAAGCTACCATTTACCAACAGAAAAAACAGGCTAAGAACATTCGACCACCAGGGAAAATAATGATGGAGACCTCTGCAGTGTGTACATCTATGGAGATTTCCTGTGCGAACAGCCGAAATAATGGGTGTTCAGCCCAGCAAATCTTCAGCTGTAGTGTGTTTTTGTCACTGGTGTAATATATCACCACTGCTAAATGTGACAGCTTCCTCCTGATTGTTAGGGAGCTGGCACCTGCCTGTGTCCTAACAACCAGTAACTTATTCCTGCCTGGCACATTTAACTGTCAGCCAAGGGTTGCCAACTGACAGGTTACTGTAAACAAACATTATGGATAGTGTAGTATTTGTATTTCTGTTCACTGAGTCCTGAAACAGCTCAACCATGCAACACAACCCTGTCTGTCAATGGAGGAGAACTTATTTCTATCTGTTGCATTTAAGAAACACTTACTGTTCTTGTCCCTCCACCACTGTGTGACTGGACATTGATGCACTTGTCTCTCTGTCACTCTGCTCTCTTCTGCTGCCAGCATGCTTCTTGCACTGCAGAACAATTATCTCCTTCTATTGCTTCTCCTTCCTCCAGTTTAAGCTCTGCTGTACAGTAAATTGCAAGAGGCTGATGCTGAGATAAGTTGAGGTTCTTGCATTGTTTGCAACTAAAATAAATATATAAAATGTGAATATTTAATAAAAAATACAAAGTGCTGCATAAATTGACAACACTATGTAAGTAGCTGAAATAAAAAATTTAATACAGCTCTGTATTTATTACCACCGTGTAAAATGATGTATTTTATATCTGTCTGGAGTCTGACCTAAATCTTTAAAGGGTGAGTCCACTCTGTACTGATAATACATCAGTGTTGGGTTGATGTTATTGTGCTTAGTCACTTGCCACCCTCTCATAGTTCTCGCAAACGTCACCATCAAATTCTCTGTACATCAGTTTTAACTGAATGAAGTTACATCTACTTTAGTCAATGATTCTGTGCAACAACCTTTGATTTTCTACAACTCTAAACTTGAATGTTCCTTTTTTTTCTTTTAAAGGTTGGAGATGTAGTAGAAGTGAGAGACGATGAAACGTTCCCTTGTGATCTCATCTTGCTGTCCTCCAGCTGTAGTGATGGCACCTGTACTGTTACTACAGCCAGTCTGGATGGAGAGTCCAACTTCAAGGTGGTAATTTAGTATAATTTTCATATTCATTTCTAGTACATGTCATATATTAATCCAAAGCCAAATTATTTTTGTATCTTCAGTGTGTTGTAGATGCAGAAACAACTGTTCTAATGTTTTTACTTCCACTGTTGGTTTTTCAAACTTGTCTTTATGAAGGTCATAATTAAAGAATTCCTAAATCATGAATGAACAGTTTTGACTGGTTTAGCTCCATGTCTTGCTAATGGAGCCCTGTTACCTTTCTGTACAAACAGACACAGACATACATGCACTCTCTCTTGGTGTTTCCAGGAATTCTGTCACTGTACTTGGCAAGTATGTCCAGGTGAAACAGTAACATGCACGTAGTCAAATCATGTACAAACAGAGGAGTCACAATGCATTAGTATTGGCAAGCATAGACAATTCAAGACTAATATAACATTGCTGATAGTAGGCCACTTAGAAGCTTGTACAACCAAGTCAATGATCCTGCCTCAGTAATGTCTACCTTGCATCTCCAGAGCAGCTTGCAGGACTTTTAGCTTCCAACTTAGAACTACATGGTACCTGTGCTTTGGGCATTACAGCTCATTTGTTACTGGTGGTTAACAAGCATGTAGTAGATGTCCAGATCACTTCTGTATATAGGTGTGGAGATATTTGTCTGTCCTTAAGTCGCTGAAATGCAGAGTCCTGCTGTAAAATTCACCAGACAATAACAACACCTTGTGTACAAATATTTGATCCTTGAAGAGTGAAGCCTTGCTGTTTGTTAGGGAGTGTCATGGCCTCTTAAGGTGGTTAGAAATGGCCAGTTTTGCTAACAGTATCTTAATCTGGACCATGGTTTGTGATTTTCAGGAAAGCTATTCTTCAAAAGATCCGTATCAACTGCACTGCTTTAAGCCCCATACACACAGGCCAAATATCAGGTGGTATCAATAGACAAACAATGACTGACATTCGGCCCGTATGTGCGGCAGCATATCTGACAAGTCAGCTGAACGACAGGCTTCTGTCGAAGGGGCATGACCAAAAAAGGTCTTCTGATCAGCATCCGATCAGCGCTCTCAGCCAATGGCTGAGAGGGCTGACCTGTGTGTTCTGGCAGGGAGGCTGTCGTCCTATCAGAACAGAATAGCTCAGCGGGGAGATCACTGTACTAATATCGGATTGTTAGTACAGGATCTCCTCCTGAACTCTTCAGTTTTTTTTTGTTCAGCCTGCTGGGTTGAAAAAAAAGTAAATTGATAGTGTGTACTAGGCTTTACCCTTAGAAGGAAACCATGATGTTTCTCACTTTGTTCACTAATCTCCACTATGACAGTTAAAGGATAAGTTCACCTTTTTAAACAAAAGTCATAAATGCTCATTTTTTTTTTTTGCAACCATGGGTGCAGGAAAGAAAATCTCTCAATTCCCCGATCAACACAGTCAATGTCTATGGGGGAATCCCTCCCTCAGAGCTATTGTGTTCTCCCAGCAGTGGGGGAGCTGGGAAAGCTGTCCCTGCCAATAACTGCATGTAAAATCCAACATGCTGGTTGTACCCAAGTCATACAAAAATCGACTTGGGTACAATCAACCTGTCCATAGATGGTTTGAATCTTGGCCGATCCCTGCTGAACTGGAAGAGATTCAAACCATCTATGACCACTTACATCTGTATTTCAAATGTAGCAGTTAGTGTGTTGAGCCGAACAATTTAGCGCTGACAGCGGTGCTTACTATGATCAACTTTTATTTATGTAAAACCTTTTTCCCAATAGAAAAAAAGAACTGTTGCTTTAACTGCAGTGGGAGCTGGAGTTTGACTTCAGTTTCTTGGTGCATCTAACGCTCCCCTCTCCCAAACTGACAGTGCTGCAGTCCAAAGGTGCCTCTGTGCTCCTTCATTCAGTGTGTAGGCCATCTAATACAGGAGGTGCATTACTGGCCAGACAGCCAGGTAAAAACAGAAGGGGAAAAGCCTTAGAAGTAAAAACTAATATAGCCATCACATCTAAGGTTTGGTAAGCTGCAATATGTTACATTTTTGGGTTTAATACTGCTTCAGCTTCATTATTTTATCTGGCACAGGGGTTGGTTTACTAAAGGCAGTGAGACTGTGCACTTTGCAAGTGCAGTTGCACTCCTTTTCCCAAGAGCTTGGTAAATGTGGTGAAGCTCTGCTGATGTTCCACCATCCAGTCATATGCAAGCAAAACTGATGTTTTTTATTATCCTTGCTCCTGATTGGGTATTCTTCACAAAGTGAAGCTTCACCACCTTCCATAATCTCTGAAGAAAATGAGTGCAAATGCACTTGCAAAATGTATAGTCTATTTGCCTTTAGTAAATGAACCCCTCAGTGTCTTGGTGCTGTTTCCCCCATGCCATATTCTGTCTCATGCATATGTCATCCCTCTGCCTTTTTAAAATCACAGATTAAATGCTAAATATCCAAGTGTTATGTGATGGATTTCCACACAGGATTCAGCTTTTAGCACCTGCAACCCAGATGTGACCAGGTGTAATGTTTGTTCCCGGCAGCCTCCTAGCTTTAATCCTAGCTCCAAAATATCCCATTTTTGGCATGCATAAATAAGTTGGACTTTTAACAATGTATTTTTTATCATGGAAGCATTATTTATCACATGGCAGTAGCAATTAAAATGTTGGATATTGTAACTCTATCCACAAATGGTACCCTCTGAAAGAACATGGCTTTACTAAAATACCGGATGATTGGCAGGATCTCAAAGAAATCCTCTGTTATGACCACTTATACTATTATTTTTTAATCATTCTTGGTTTATTTCATGTTCTCTTAGTCTTTTAACTTCAGTGCACCACGGCTGACGAACAATAATGTTCTATATTAATATGAAGCATGTAATTTGATCTTGGGTTCTACAATAAAATGTAATATGCAATATGGTTGTCTGTAGTGCGTTCTGAAATTAGTATTAACTAAAAGGACACTTTTAAAGGATAACTGCACTTTTAAAATACATTAGCTTGTTTAATACATGACTTCAAGTGGCAAAATGCTACTTTTGCAAAAGAACCATTACAATACTCAGCCATCCATTTTTCTGCTTTTGAGAGCTGTGATTGCTCTCTTAGGCTAGTGTGTATATATTGCTTTTTTAGCATTTACCCGATGTAAGGAGCAGCATGTCTAAGAAACGAACAAGTAATGCATATGCTTCACAAACCTTGGATGAACTAATTACTCTAAAAGGTTCTATTGTGGCACATTTCTTTGTTATCCGTGTTTTATATCTGTTTGTATGATGGTACACTCTTTATTTGTACTATCCGTACTACTTGTTTTTGTAAAACTACTTGATAAAAAATCATTGGAAACTAAAAGGTCCTATTGGGGTTTTCTAGGTGATTGGATATAAAATATGTAGTAGTCAAATGTAAAACTTTATCTGTCAGTTTCATGTGTAATTTTTAGCTCTGTAACAGAGGATCATGCACTTTTTTGGTAACCCTATTGCTCGTTGGTCTTTATCATTTTGGTGCCGGGGTTACTTAAAGGCGAAGTCCACCTTTTGCCACAAAATATTAAATGCACATATATTTAGAGAAAAAAAAATTAGCATTTATTTTTTTTTTGCAAATGAGCCAGCAAAGCAATGCAACCACAATAGGTGGATCGCGGTAGGCGCCTGTAGATTCTTCTTCCAGTTCTATGTTTGTACTAATGTGTGGGCTTTCAGTTGCTGAACTCGAGGAAGTGTCAATGGATGAGTGCGGTAATCCTCTTGCTTGTGTTCTATTGAGAAGGACAAGTCTGCCCGCCATGGTGACACAGGACTTGTAGTTTATTCATGTGCTGATCTCTGTGAATGAATGATGCAGCTGTGCAGGCAGAGCATAAACTCAAAAGTGACAGCTGCTGTGGGGAGGAAGATCCTTGCAGACTGTCCCACATTTTGGGGGTAGGAGGGTTTGCTTGGCACTGCGTTACGCCCTGAATGTGGGTGTAACATGGTCTGAAAGGTGGAGTTAGTCTTTAACATTCATACTTTTAAGTAATTCCAAATCCAGAAACAACTTTGAATGAGCCAAGGATACTGTGGATTCTCTTCTGCTTCTGCAGAGCGTGCCTTTTGTGAAGCTCACTGGCAGTAAGCTGTATAGTGATGATATGCTGGAAAACAAAATCTTGGCAATGACAGCCATTTGGATCTCCAGACTGCACTATAAATAGCATGAAAGCCAAGTGTTAAATTTTAGCAAGTTTTCAGTGAATGATGAGGCTGCTGGTAATGGGGTTCTAAAAATAGACCTGAAAGTCAAAAGGTTTCTTGAATTCGCCATTAGAATTACTATGATTTATATCTGAAATATCTGCATTCTAACCATTTATCTTTTTACCTTAGACCTATTCTGCTGTCCGTGAGACATTCTCTTTGTGTACAGTTGAAGCTGTTGATGGTCTCACAGCCACCATTGAATGTGAACAACCCCAGCCTGACCTTTACAAGTAAGTAGCAGGGATGGCAAGTAAAGGTACCCCCCCCCCCCCCTCTCCCCCCCAACAAACATGACAATTTTGAACAGAGATCATGTCAAGATAGATATATGGAAGCTACTATTGCTGGTTTTCATACTTATTCTCCGACGGAAATTAAGCATAAAATATCAGAACACCTGATATGCGGGTGCTTGTTCTGGGTCAGTGACTCAGCATGAAATAATGGACAGACACGGATTATGACCCTGGAGCTTGCACTGTAACAAAAAAAAAAAGTAAACAAATGTAGTCTATCTGCATGACTAAATTTATTCCTGACATTCATCTTTGACAGCTGACTACTCTGCTTAGTAACTGTCCTAATTTCTTAATGATCCTGTAACTGATCCTGGGAAAATGCAGACCAGGTGTTCCTAAGTTCCAAGCAAAGGCTTCTCAGAATCGTATGACATGAGGTCTCAGATCTTTCCAAATAATGAATTGGAGCTGTGTAAAGGTGAAGGTTATTTTTTTTTTTTTTAATCTTAATCATGAGTACCATAAGCCACAATGCTCAAAAGGAAGTGGACATGAGCCTCTCTTGGGCATAACTGCACGTTTCAGCACTGTCCACCATCTATATCCCAGGAATAAAAAATTTGCAGGTGGATTATCTCAGAATGGCTGTTGAAGGCCATTTCCTACGTGACAGGGGCCTGTCAGGTTCAGCTATCCACACTTCCTTGAAGGCTAGCATGTTTGCTTCCATCGAAATCTATCATTACACCTGTAATGTCTGTTTTGTTTGGTGGCATTCTAGACAGTACTTTGAGGAACACTTTCTGTCCTTTCTCCCATTCTTGTCTTAACCAGCACCTGGCACACGGGCCTGTTGTATTGCCTACTCCTCATTTGGACTTCTTTTGGATGTCTCTTGGTAAAGACGAAAGATTTTGTGTCCCGTACTGTACAACTAAGGAAATAAGGTTTTTATTAACTTAAAAGTAAAATGCGTTTCTTGGAGTACACTATGGGATACAGGTCCCTTCCCTCTGTTCCTATAATCTCCTTATTGCTTGCTACAGAACTGATGCTATCCGGAAGTGGGCAGGGGATGTCTTGCCATATTTTGTTTGCCAGTGTCAAATCACCCAAAGGTTGCTGCAATATAACGATTGTAAAGACTAAAGATCATGTGTCCTGTACTTTTTCCAGCATTTCAAGAAATATATCTTAAAGTGATTGTAAATGTGTTTTTTTGCAAATAACAATCATGTCATGTACAATAATCGATAAAAATGCAGCGCTTGATATTGCAGATAAAAATGACATAAATAAAAGAATGAGTAAAAGTCTTAAAGAGCACAACGTGGCAATCGTGGTTCCTTAGATGGTTGTTAAATTATCGTGACTTCCGTGGTTTGTGAGAAGTGAGTATACAATGTACTAACCAGATAGCACATGGTTATGTGCGTTGGAGTAAATAGGACCTACTCCAAAGGTACTCTGGGAACCGGAACTCTGCAAACAGGTGAGGTCGTCAGGTGGGGTTGAGTCACCAGATGTCATCAGACCAGCGCACTTTCCTCATTCCAGTATAATGTGTGATCATCACATTGGGTACATCATGCAGTATGGATTTCAGCCACCGGGAGGATCATGTACTTTAGTGTACGTCTCCTACCATGGAGCACCTCTGAAAATGAGTATGTACTCGAAACGCGTCAGTGAGACCCCCCTGTACAAGGATTTATGACCTATATGCTACCTTATTACCTCTGGATATGTCAGTTGTTTTTTCCACTTTTTTTACCTACTTGCAATTGTAACTCCTGCTGTTATAATAAATACTACACTATTGGAGTTTTCTTTCTCTGTGGGCTCATTTTTTGGAAATCGTGAGCCCCCCTTCCTTAAGGTGCTCCATGGTAGGAGTCGTACACTAAAGTACATGATCCCCCCGGTGGCTGAAACCCATACTGCATGATGTACCCAGTGTGATGATCACACATTATACTGGAATGAGGAAATCTGTGCTGGTCTGATGACATCTGGTGACTCAACCCCACCTGATGACCTCACCTGTTTGCAGAGTTCCGGTTCCCAGAGTACCATTGGAGTAGGTCATATTTACGCCAACGCACATAACCATGTGCTATCTGGTTAGTACATTGTATACTCACTTCTCACGAACCACGGAAGTCACGATAATTTAACAACCATCTAAGGAACCACGATTGCCACGTTGCACTCTTTAAGACTTTTACTCATTCTTTTATTTATGTCATTTTTATCTGCAATATCAAGCGCTGCATTTTTATCGATTATTGTACATTACATTAGAGGATTCAGGTATTTCCTTTTTTATGCTGGCAGCTGATTGTATATATTTACTCTGTTACCCAGCGCTCGTATATCCATTGTTTTATTCCAACAAACATGTCATACTTACCTGCTCTATGCAATGGTTTTGCACAAAGCAGCCCCGATCCTCCTCTTCTGGGGTCGCTCAGCGCACGTCTGACACCTCCCCTACCGTGTGCCCCCATAGCAAACTGCATGCTATGGGGCACTTGTGCAGCCTCGATCCTGAGATGCTCTGTGTGTCCATTGACACACACAGCAAAACTCTGCTCTGCCCCTGCTTTCTCTTTTTACTGGCTATGACTGAGAGCAGCAGGAGTCAATGGCTCCCGCTGCTGCTTTCATTGCCAGTGAGCAAAGTGAGAAAGGACAGAACTGCTGCATCGAGATTGGACTCAGATGAGAATGGTGGGGGCTGTAGGGGAGCTGCACACAGAAGGGTTTTCTGCTTTAATGCAGAGAATAAATAAAGGTTAAAAAAAATTCTACATTACAACTACTTTAAATCGGAACTATATTGACCTTGTTTCCAGCAATGCGATGTCCTGGAGCTCCCCGCCAGATGCTGACCTCTTCAAGCAGCCTGCTTCTAGGTAACGGGCGCTGGCCATTTTTATTGGCCGGGCCAATATGATCTCACTCCTGTGCTTGCGTGGGAGTTCAGTTGGCTTCAGCATTGCTGATTCTCTACAGTGAGCTGCGACAGGATAGACAGCCAGTCACCTTGCAGTTTTAAGCAGTGGCACGGCTTTGTGAAATACAGCTTTGTTTGAATGAAAAACCTAAGACCTGGGCATAAAGTCAGGGTTTTTGTATGCTTTTCATGTTTTAAAGGGGAATAATTGAGTTTTTAAATATTTATTTTTAAGATCTAAATAGGGAATACCTTAGAATTCACATATAGCTTGTAATTGTATCTACATGGGAGCAGCCTTTTTGAGCGTGTTATTTAACTTCTTATTGCAAATAAGACTGTGCTGTGATTGGGAACTAAAGAAAGAGCATGTGATCTAGCCTCCATAGATCAGAAGCTGGAGAACAGCAGTGTTTACATTCATTACAACGAAGAGTTCATCTACATTCAACTTAATCTGGTTTGACAATGTTGAAAAGTGCTATTAGTTCATGTCAAATGTAAATATGATAGGTCCACTTTAATCCTGTTGCCTCTGGAGGACATTTTTCATTTTGGGACATGTTAAGATCTGATTTTTGTTGAAATAATTTTATGCTCCCAAATTATGATATACTTTCTTAAACCTGAGGCCCTTTAGAATAAATTATGATGATGTTGATAAATTATCAGCAGTTTTCAATGCTGATTGCCAGTCAACTGAAGCAGAGAGAGAATTCAAACCTGGTGCTATGCATTTGGCTAAGTACATTTGTTATTTGACTGTTAAATGTTCATCATTCTAGGGTGAACTTCTGCATTAAGAGCTTGGTGTATTTCTGGCAGCAGAGGAACTGGTATTTTTCTGTAGTTGAAGGATTCTCTAAAGTATAAAGCTTTGAAATGTGCATGTGTTGCAGAGATGTACTTTGTTTTGTCTTTTTTTTTTTTTTTTTTTTTTTTTTTTTTTTTTTGGGGGGGGGGGTGGTTGCCTTTACATGAGTTTAAAGCTACTGTTAGCAGATCACATTTGAGTTTAAAAAGCATTTTTTACATTCTGTTTTAACCAATTCAATACCGGGCAATTTTACACTTTCCTGCCCAGGCCAGTTTTCAGGTTTCAGCGCTCTCACACTTTGACAATTGCGCGGTCATACAACGTTGTACCCAAACTAAAATTTTATCATTTTCTTCACACAACTAGAGCTTTCTTTTGGTGGTATTTAATCACCGCTGGGGTTTTTATTTTTTTGCTAAATTAACAAAAAAAAAGACCAAAAATTTTGAAAAAAACACATTTTTTTTTGTTTCTGTTATAAAAGTTTGCAAATAAATAATTGTTCTTCATAAATTTAGGCTGAGATGTATTCTGCTACATGTCTTTGGTGAAAATAACCCAAATTAGGATGTATTATTTAGTTTGTAGGAAAGTTATAGAGTTCATAAACTATGGGATAGATCTGAATATTGATCAATCCTGAAGTACTGACAGCCAATCTAATTTCTTGAGGTCCAAGAATGTCAGAATAGTACAGATATCCCCCAAATGACCCCTTTTTGCAAAGTAGACAGTCTGACGTACTTCATAAGAGGCATGGCGAGTTTTTTGAAGTTGTATTTTTTTTGTCATTTTTCGGAAAATTTTAAAAATGTAAAAAATTAGTTTCACTATTTTTTTTTTACATATTGTCACCAGTGCAGTACAGCATCATCATATAACTGACATGGCGGTGATCAGGGACACTGACTGGTGACAGTATGAAAAAAAAAATTATATATATATTTTTTTTTTTTTATTAAATTTTTTTTTCTTTTTTTTTTAAGATTTTTTTTTTTCATATTTCACTATGACCAAAGTAGTACAATGTTACCATAGTAACATTGTACTACTTTGGGAAAGTGATCAGTATTTTTTTTTCTTTTTTTACACAATTTGCTTATAACAAAAAATTACTTTGCTATAAGCAAGCATTTACCTGAATGACATCGATTCATTCAGGGTTTTTTTGTTTGTTTTTTTTTTGTGCTTAGCTGTGATTTAGCCACAGCTAATCACATGACATGTGCATGTGATTAGCTGTGACCATTCACAGCTAGACAGTAGTACACAATGGATGGCATGAATGAAGCCATCCATTGTATACAACTGTCATGTGACCTGCTGTGATTGGTCACAGCAGGTCACATGGTACCGGCAACGGGGGCCGATACTCAGATCTGTCATCAGCCGTGTCTGAGGTACGCGGCCGGTGACAGATCGCGCCACTGCGCGGCTCTGCAGGAGCGCAATCTGCTCATGTGCGGGAGGACGCCATATGGCATCCACCCGGAACGCTGATGACATTTGCCGGCCGCGGGCATAGGGTGGGCGGCAAATGTTTAAACAATCACAAATATACACTCGGCCTCAGCCACTGCTCACATTATTAGGCCTCATTCAGATGTCTACTGATGCCCATACACTGTGAACGAGCCATTTATTTATCCATCCCTAGTTGGAAGGAAAGTTTCTGCGTATGTGTTCAGAAAAAGTGCAGAAACTTTTTTAAGAACCCTGGTATGAGAGGAAGCAGCAGTTGCACGTACACAGCTGCTCTTCCTTATATGACAGGCATGCATTTTGGGTGGCTCACCTGTACCCACACCTGCAAGCTTGTCACATTAAGATGACTGTCTGTGTCCATGCAGCCACTGTGTCCTCATAGACATGAATGGGCTGCCTGCTTACAGCACCTGCCAGCTAGGGATGGATCAAAAAAATGTCCCCTTCACTGTGTACAGACATCAGCGCCTGTGTGAACAAGGCCTTACAGCTTCATTTTATAGAACAAAGCCTTTATTCCTCTTTTTTATGGTTCCTTCTGTAATGAGTAATCATTAGTCATCAGCAGTCTTTTCTGAAGAAATTGCTAGACTGTAGCTTAAAGCGTTTAATTAAGAATCCTGTCTTAATTAAAATAACTAGAGCATTCAATTAAACCATTTCTTGGATTTTTAATTATACAATCTTCTGATTTTCTGACACTTTCAAGTGAGGGGGCTTTCAAGCGTGCGTGGTTTCTTTCCTTTTTTTTTTTTTTTTTTTTTTTTCTGCAATAAGCGTCTCTGTAATAATGTGATGAATTGTTGTTTGGAGGTCAAGAACATGGTTTGCTGCTTGCTGAATAAGCCTTATTTTTACATCATTTCTTCTGCATGTAAACAAATCAGCTTGTATTGTCTTTTTATTTAGAGATATCGCCAAAGCTCCCCCCCGTCAGGCTGTGCTGTTTCCTTCTACTTCCCCTGAGACTATTGTTAAGATAGTTAATGGAGTATATAAAAGAATTACTGTAAAAGATTTTCACTGTTTAAAATATTTATATTAAAAATTAATTTGTTTACCAATCATGTTGTAGCCATTAGTGGCAAGACCCCTTGGCATTCTACAAACAGGGTTTGATAGAAATGACCAGAGTTCAAGAGAGGAGTACAGTTATGGGGATTGAACCTTTAAATTACCAGCTGGAGCAAAATAGAAGCACTGCGTGCTATGGCTACTTTGAGGATCTTTGGGTGAATTGTAGTCTTTGTAAATAGGGCAATATCCTTGGTGCCATTTCCTTATATTTAAACCTGAAGATTAGTATTTTTTTTAATACAGTACCATATACATTAGTTATGTGTTATGGTGCAGATCTCACCTCCTGCAGGCAGTTAAATCCAATCCAGTTGTGTAATGCTGTGTTATTAAAAAAAAATGAATACAAAAAAAACCCCCTGCAAAGGTGAAGTGACCATGCGGTTTCCCAGCGCCTTCCTTGAGGATTTACCACTAATGGCGCTCAAGGTGTCTGAAGTCTTCGTGTTGTGGTAGGACCCAATGCGGATGATAGTCTTTCCATACTAACATACTGTTTATCATTTATAGCTGAATGTTTGGGTTTTTTTTTTTTTCCTTTCCTTTTGAGAGGATTGGAAATAATGGGACAAATGTGCAGCTGACCTTTGTAATTTGAGTTCCATCCCATTTGGAGAGTGCATCTTTCTGAAGGTGGTGGTGGATAACACAGTTGGAGCACATTTGATGAGTTCAGAACACGTGCCGTTTTGTGGATAGTTTACCTGGTTGAAGGTGGTGGATTCATTTTCTAAGGTTAGGCCTTGTTCCCAAAGTGTACTTAAGCATACACTAACGCGAGGGCTGAGTTTTTACTGCCAAGGGATGCATCGGCTGCACGGCTGTGTCCATGCAGCCACTGCATCCCAGTTGACATCAACAGGACTGCCTGGAAGCAGATGCCGCAAACACATATGCAGGCAAAACACAGCCCTAACTTGAGTGTGTGAACAAAACCTTCTACAGAAAAATTAGGTATTTTGCAACATTGTCATTATTTATAGCAGGTATTTGAATTTTAGCACAGATTGTATATGAGATTATTCTACTTCTATGAAGAAATATGGCTGAAGCTTTTTGTCCATACTGCTTCTGTAGCTCACATGAGTGGACTCCTGTGACCCAGATTCTTCCGACAGTGGGCTGCCCAGGCAGTGGCATCCAGGCTTTGTAGAAATCTGGAAAATGTCAGGATACACCAAGATACCTTACCAGCAGCTTGCTCAGGCTCTCAGCATTCCGCTGAGAACCTGAGCCAGCCTCTCCCGCCCCCTCCACATTCTGGTGCTCTATTGAGCACTGGAGGGACAGAGCAGAGAGCCAGTGACTGACAGTCACCACTCTCTGCTCAGTGAAGACCTAAGCAATCAGCAGTCATGTGATCACTGTTCTCGATCTTAGAGCTGGCAGGAAACGGCTGTAGCATTAGATTGATGCTGCAGCCGCATAAGTGAATATAATTGTTTTGTTTTTTTTTTAAATCCTGCACTTGTCTTTTAATAAAAGCTGCTTTTCACATTATTAAGGCTAGAGTCACACTATTGCGGGTGGGACAATCACACTTGTTCCTGCAACAACCTGCAGCCAAAATGTGCTGCTTTTTAAAAATGCACAGGGTTGCCATTCATTTTTAGCAGCACCCCCACACACATGTGAAAACACAGAGCCTTTGCCGGTGTGGGAGCCGCAAGAAAATCGAATGGTGCAAGAGCTCCATGCGATTTCTCGGCCTCTGCTTTTTCAAGATGCTACAGGAACCTTTTCCTTGCTTGAAACTCAGACACAGCAGTCCATTCAAATGAATGGGCTGCCATGCCCATGCACACGCAGACTGCAAATCTGCAAAAGTGTGAACCTAGCCTAAGAGTTTATATTAAAAAAAGTTGATTTGTTTGATAGCACGGTTATATGGGATTTGTTGTTTGAAGTTTGTTATATACCATTGTATACCTGCTTTGACTTTGAGTGTGATAGTTATTTTTAGTTTGCGTTACTTCTGTTTTTAGATGGAAACAAAAGCCATCTCTCAGTGCCTCCAAAGCAGGCAGTTTCCATTCCTTTATGGGACTGACGGCATCAAGTTTACACAATTGTATTTTTTTTACATAATCATCCACCTCCACCTAGTTTTTTTTCCCCCTTGTTTCTCTGTCTGGTATGGATTCAGTGATGGGTTCAGTAATCAACTGTATAGCAAATAATGTGCTGCTTGATCGTCCCAAAGGTGATAAGCAGAGCTCCACCACAACACCTAAATACCTAATTATCCTATATACTTTATATGTAAGCTGTCTTACCTGACACAATATTCATTTTTTATTTTTTTCTGTTTTATAATCCATACACATCTGTCATGCTGCTTAGCTTAAAAATGACAACACTATATTGGTCTTACAGCATTTTTCCTCACCCAGCCATCTGCAGCTTTCTCACTGGGTTATGAATGAGCACTCATTATGAATGAGAATGGATGATGTCCATTCTTCCCAGTTTCATAAATCCGCTAATTTAGTATTTCTATCATTGCAATAGCTTCTGATGATTCTCTAAGAATTTTCAACACCGTTGATTTTGGGTAAACAGGAGAATGAGGGATTTTTTTAATGGCATATTAATCTAGTTGTTTCAGTGGTATGTTGAAAATAAGCTGTTTGCATTCATTCAAACATGCAGTAGGGGTGTTTTTTCAAAGTTACTTCAAAGTTTCCACTTTAACAACCAATGTTATCCTCTACATATCCTAAAACACAAATAAATATGAATGTTTGAATTGCAACATTTGTTGTGCAGTGATCTCTAATAGAGATTTTTGTATTTGTGTGACCTTGCTGTATTTTTATCTATTTATTTTATTCTAATTCCAGGTTTGTTGGAAGAATGAACATATACACTAACCAGGAAGTTAAAGCAAGGTAGTGCTTATCTAATCTTTGTAGAACCACGCACTGATGTGTTTGTCAGTCCTTAAAATTTCAATGGACCTGTGTTTTTTTTTTTTTTTTTTTGGTTTTAGGTCTTTGGGACCAGAAAACTTGCTGCTAAAAGGGCGACTTTGAAAAATACGCAGAAGATATATGGTAAATGTGGATCAACATTTAAATAGCATGTTTTATTTTCACTTAGACCTTGTTCACACAGCGCAATTAGCTCTATGCCCCTATCGGGGCACTTTTTTTTTCTTTTACCAGCACCAGGATGCACAGATGTTTCATGCATCCCTGATGTCTACTGGGACAAGCAACTGCACAGACCCAGCTGCCTGTCCCAATAGAGAACAGTGAGACACCGGCATGGGGATGCATGGAACACCTAGTCATCCCTCTGCTAGGAAAAGACAGCCTTGCACAGGGCATGGAGCTAACAGCTTCTTGTAAATGGACATTGGTCATCTGTAGATATTTGGACAGATCTGCCTGCATCACTGAACTCCTTCCCCAACTGATATCTTGTGTCGCCTAATTCATGTACATTGTTGTGCTGTGCACATCTATGGCCATCTTTAGAGTTTTGTCGATATAAACTTGTTCATAGGTTGCTATAGATGAGCAGTCATTGAGATTACTTGTTGGCGCTGTTTATTTCACCTCATTTGTGCAGTGGATACTGCAAAATTTCTTGGACCAGTTCTGGGTTTGCAATTGCAAGCATCATTTGCAATATGTATTGTCACTGAAGGGAATTTATTTGCATTATTGCATAAGGAAGTTTTGTTGTAGTATTGCAAGGGCCACACCATATTGTCTTTACTTATCTGCAATGTACCATTCGTTTATCCCAGGTGATGACTGAATTTGTGCAGTGCTTACAGACGTCACTTACTATATTGCCAGACTATAATTTTTATTTTTTTCGCAGTAAGCCTAAGGGCTTATGTATACTGCAGCTGATAAACTCACGTTTAGGAGCTGTTCAACGTTTTTTTTTAGCAGCCCCTCAACTCGCCCTAATGTTTTTCTATGTGTCCATGTACACATCTTCGTTTACAGTCCTTTACAGTCATTTGAGTTTCCAGTTGTTTTTTTTGAACGCAGAAAACTTGCGTTCAGCAATCAATTTTATCAGCGTTTCAAACACAAAATGTTTGTAAACGCAGAAAATCGCGTTTAAAAGCGTTGAAATTTTTTTTTAACTCTTCCAGTTCCCGATGCTGTCCAGAGCCTTTTTTCATCATAAAAAATGCATGCAAAGTGTTTTCAAGGTACTCAAATGGACAAAACACTGAACACAGGAATATTCCTACCAGGCTTGTCAAACATTGACCAATTCACACCTCATACCTCTCCACCCTTGGAAACAAAAGATATGTTAATGACCATTCCCACCTCAAATTGCTCATGAAGACCCCCTGCCAGGTGGCCTTAATGACTCACTCCACCAGACACCTTCCCACCCTTGGAAACAAAAGAAATGTTAATGATCAACTCACACCTAAGATAATCTCAACACCTACTGCTCTCTCTGCTTCCACTCTGTATTTCTCTGAAACAGTCTGAAATAGTTAATAATTTACCACTTTTCAGTGCATTCTGGGCATTTGGGAGGTTCTCCTGTGCTTATCTTTAAAAACCGCTTCTAAACGCAAACGTGCATAAACACATTACGCAAGTGCGGCTAAACAGACGTTTTTTTAATCTACGTTTTTCAGTTTCCATCGTTCAGAAGTGTCCTGTGTACACGGGGCCTTAGAAAGTAATCATACATTCTCTTTTACCAGCCTGTCTGCACAGAAATGTTTTGGGTGTAGATAACTAAAAATAACCAGTTTTAGAATTGGGTGAAATATAGATTTGTCAATGTTCTATTTAGTCAATAAACAGTACGTATATTTCTAGTAATGAATTATTAGTTGTAGTTAATTGAGTGTTTATGATGCAGAGAAGGTGTATATACAATGCTTCAAAGTAATACAAAAGAAGAAAGAAAAACGCATTTGCTGTTTTGTAATATCCATACCGCCTTTTATGTTTTGCAGGTGTTGCAGTATATACTGGCATGGAGACCAAATGGCTTTAAACTACCAAGGAAAATCCCAGAAACGATCTGCTGTTGAAAAGTAGGTCTGGCTTTATTAACAGTGCTTTTCTGTAGTTTATATTATTTGTTCCCATGTGTATTGCTGACATTCTGTTTGTATTTGTAGACAGATAACATAGTAGCAGCATTTCCTCTGTACACTTTCAAGGCCAAGGTTATTTGCCTTTTGAGATTTTAAATGAAATGGTGTTCTCTGTTCTTCTTAGTTCAAGGACAGCTACTAAAATGTGTGTTATGATAATGCAGTAGAGAAGAAAAATCTGGTCAGCTGCGCATCCGATAAAATCATCTTTATTTAGACATAGTCAAAATAGACACTCCATAATGTAGCACTCCAGCTACCGTGTTTCATGCCGCAATCATAGCCGTGTTTTATGATAATGCAGTCCTTGGTTATTATGTTGTATGTCACACCCAGGCAATGTAAGGCTGTGAAACTTATGTTGTATTTTTTGTATCAGAGGAGCCTGATAATGTCCTTTTAAAAACCATTTCTTAAGGAGAGCAGTGAAGAGTTGAAATTGTCATGTTTTTTTTCCTGTTAAATGGGTGGTAATGTGCGCAGCTTCTGATATTCTTCAGAAATATCATCAAGAGAAAAAAAAACCTGTATAGTACAAAATACCTTTTATTTAAAGCCCAACTCCAGGCAAAAATTATATAAAAGTGCATTGCGCATCAATTAATTTACTGCTGAGTCTTGATTTCAACCACCTCTTCCTAAACCCTATTGCAGTCCAGTGAACACTGTGTTCTCTATGAGCCAGGCTGCAGTAATTTTCTGCCCTGGGGACCAGGCATTTCCTGCTTGTTGTCTTCTTGGCCCCTGGTCCCCATCACTGACCCGGGTTAGTTAACCTACCTCTGGAGCCTATGAGAGGGGACCCAGCCTCTGCAAGTGTTGTTTCCTCTAAAAGGAGATATCCACATCATGCAGGCAGTGATGTGGACACCTGGAAAGGACCCCAGGAAAATAGAGTAATAAATAATAATATACACTGATCAGCCATAACTTTGTGACCACTGACTGGTTAAGGGAATAACATTGATTATCTCCTTACAATGGCATCTGAAAGTCGGTGGGATATGTTAGGCAGCATGTATACATTTTGCCTCTGAAGCTGAAGTGTTGAATGCAGAAAAAATGGCCATTGCAGTTTTCTGTGTATGTGTATGCTGTGCCATACTGACTTGTGTCCACATCCAAAAGAGTGTACAATGGGCACGTGAACATCAGAACTGGCCTACGGAGCAATGGAGGAAGGTGGCCCTGTCTGATGAATTTCTTTTCTTTTACATCATGTGGATGACGAAGTGTGTGTGCCATGGGGAGGAGGATGTACCTGGGGAGGAGATGGCACCAGGATGCACTTTAGGAAGAAGGCAAGGTGGTAGAGGCAGTGCAATGATTTGGGCAATGTTCTGCTGGGAAACCTTGGGTCCTGCCATTTATGTAGATGTTACTGTGACACATTCCACCTACGTTAACATTGTTGCTGATCAAATACACCACTTCATGGATATAGTATTCCCTGATGGCAGGGGCCACTTTCAGTCGTATACTGTGTTCTGTCATACTGCAAAAATGGTTCAAGAATGGTTTGAGGGACATGACAATGCATTTGAGGTGTTGAGTTGGCCTCCAAATTATCCAGATTTCTACCTAGTTGAGCTTCTATGGAATGTGCTGGAAAAACAAATCTGATCCATGGAGGCCCCATCTTGCAACTTACAGGATTTTAAGAGATCTGCTACTGATACATTGGTTGCACATATTACAGCATACCTTCACAGATCTAGTGGTGTCTATGCCTCAACGGGTCAGGGCTATTTGGTGGCAAAAGTCAATGTTAGGTGGGAGGTCATAAAGTTACTGCTGATCAGTATGTGTATATATAAATCTGAAAGTGATTTTTCTGCATGCGATTACTGCAGACGGCTATAGCTGCTAACAGTATTCTTTGTATTCTGCCTTCTGGGGAGGCTCCCCTTGCCCCTCTACCGGCAGAATACAGTAGCACTGTCATAGGAATTCCCTGTCAACACGGACTGTGTTGTGGGAATTGAGTGATTTTCTTTTTTTCCACCCATAATAAAAGGAAAGAAATTTGATTCATCTATGGCTTGCCTTAGTCTACCTAAATAAAAAAAATTAAATTATGCTTTAGAGCATGGTCTCTCTGATAGAAGTACTTGAACATTTTCTTTATTGGAGAAGGGATTTAAAGCATTAAGCCCACACCTGTAAAATCAGCCTGTATATGCAGTAAAGCATGCTTGTTATACTCGCTGTGGAACCTAAGGGGTTAATCCTCCGCATTGTGTAAAAACGCTGCTTGATCCTGATTTCTCTGATCCTCCCCTTCTCCCAGTGCCCCCCTCTTATCGCCTGATAAGACATATCATGCGGAGTCACTCTGCACATAATCAGTTTGGTGTGTATTGCTAGAGAGGTTTTATCTTTCTTGGGAGAGTGCATATGATCAGCACAGGGCCAATCAGAACTGTGCAGACAGAGGTCAGGGGTTCTGCATCTAGGTCAGGGGTTCTGCATCCCCCTAGAGCAAAATTAAAACTCCTCCTACAAGTTTTGACAAGTGCTCTGCTGGACACTGATAGAAGTCACAAGACCGCTCTAACTGCTGATGAGAAAAGGTATTTAGCAGTTTTATATATACTAAAATAATTGCACTTCCATGTTCTGTGTACTGTGGGAGACCAGATATAGTGAATGCAGGGTCCTGGGTTTAGTAACACTTTAAAGAAGAATTGTTGCCACAATTTCAAAATCCCAGTTGAATTCCCCAGGGAACCAAGTGCATATAGCACTAGGACCCATTCAGATCTCTACTGTGTGTTAGAATTAAAAACCCTTTTTTTTCTATTTGTACTGGCTGTTAACTCCATCCCAAGATGAAGCCTAATTTATGTGCGTTCTTAAGGGTTAAATACAACAACGTGAGCACCAGAAGTAGCTGCATTACCACCCCCTGATAGGACCTGTTCATCTTGCTGCACCCTGCAACCCCCCACCAAGCTAGCTGGAGGGCGAGGACACACAGGGAAACACCGTCCAATGCAGGTGATGGTCATGCACACAGCTTGCTGACGGGGCTGCTTAGTAACAGGGAAAACATGCACTTCCAGGCGACCATGTGTCTGCTGTCTGAGACGAGTGTGGTCAGTCAGACCTAATGATGTATTCATCTCATTCTGAGCAGTGTGGTCAGTCAGCTGTAGGTGGGGCGTGCTGTCAACCAGGCTAACTCAGTAATCATGGCACAGATCAGAATGGCTACATGCACTTGGTCCGCTGAAGGGTCCAACCAGGATATGTAAGTTGTGTTAAAGCCTCTTTTTTAAAATAAAGTTCATCTTGTAATTTTTTTTATTCTGACCTATTGATTTTTATGGTCTTTTTGTTTCAGGTCAATAAATGTTTTTTTAATAGTTTATTTGTCCATCCTGCTATCCAAAGCAACAATTTGTACTACTCTGAAGTATGTATGGCAGAGTGATCCTGCTAATGATGAATCATGGTACAATGAGAAAACTCGCAAGGAGAAAGAGTCATTCAAGGTATATTGTTTGTGTCATTTTTCCATAAGGCAGCTACATGTGCCAGGTCAAAGCATCCAATGTCATGGTCCTGTCTTCTATATAATAATATAGAATTGGCTCCCACTTAACCATGGGTGTGTGTTCCTTCAGATCTTCGTAAAGCACATTTTTGCATTTAGTTGTGGGGCCTTTAACAAGTTTTGGCTATTATTAAATGTTTCTTTTTAAAGAAAGATGGATCTCTTTTTGTACTTCAGTCTTGTTAACTTGTGATCTATTAATACAATTATCTAAAGATTTAATACAACGTGATTATCAACCTATAGAGGACTGAATTCAAAGACACTCCGAAAATCAAAGTGAAAAAATGATGCAGGCTAGTCCCTTTTTGCTGAAATTTCATTGCAGCAACTCACAATAATAATAATCAGTAATTTGTATGGCCCCCACTTGCTTGTATGCATGCCTGACAACATCGGGGCATGCTCCAAATGTGACAGCGGATGGTGTCCTGGGGTATTTCTTCCCCAATCTGGACCAGGGTATCCCTGAGCTCCTGAACAGTCTGAGGTACAACCTGGTGGTGTCAGATGGACTGAAACATGACATCCCAGAAGTGTTCTATTGGATTTAAGTCAGGCGAGCATGGGGGTTATTCAATGGTATCAATTCCTTCATCCTCCAGGAAATGCCTGCATACTTTCGCCACATGAAGCTGGGCATTGTCATGCTCCAGGAGGAAAATTGGTCCCACTGCACCAGCGTAGGGTCTGACAGTGGGTCTAGGATTTCATCCCAATACCTAATGGCAGTCAGGGTGCCATTGTCTACACTGTGGACTATCACTGATCCACCACCAAAACGGTCATGGTAAACAATGTTACAGGCAGCATAACATTCTCCGTGGCTTCTCCAGACCCTTTCACGTCTGTCGCATGTGCTCAGGGTGAACCTGCTCTCATCTGTGAAAAGCACAGAGCGCCAGTGGCGGACATGCCAATTCTGGTGTTCAATGGCTAATGCCAATCGAGCTCTATGGTACCGGGCAGTGAGCACAGGGCCCACTAGAGAACGTCGGGCCCTCAGGCCACCCTCATGGAGTCTGTTTCTGATTGTTTGGTCAGAGACATTCACACCAATGGCCTGCTGGAGGTCATTTTGTAAGGCTCTGGCAGTGCTCATCCTGTTCCTACTTGCACAAAGGAGCAGATACCGGTCCTGCTTATGGGTGATCCTGGAATCTCCTCCATGCTCTTGAAGACTGTGCTGGGAGACACATCAAACTTTTTAGAAATATTGATGTGCCATTCTGGAGGAGATGGATTACTGTACAACTTCTGTAGGGTCCAGGCATCGCCTCATTCTACCAGTAGTGACACTGACCCTAGCCAAATGCAAAACTAGTGAAAAACAGAAGAGTACGGAAAAAAATTGTAAAACCAGTGCTGTGTTGGATGTTGTCTCATTGTTGCCCATTTAGTGCACCTGTTGTTAATTTCATTAACACCATAGCAGCTGAAACTGATTAACAACCCCCTCTGCTACTTAACTAACCAGATTAATACTGAAAAAATATACATACATACTGTGTGTGTGATTTATATATAGACCAACAGAAAGTGGCACATAATTGTGAAGTGGAAGGAAAATGATAAATGGTTTTCAAAATTTTTTACAAAGAAATACCTGAAAAGTATGGTGTGCATTTGTATGCAGCCCCTTTACTGTAATACCCCTAATTTAAATCTAATGGACCCAATGAGTGGTGGAAAACTAACACTGCACATCATTCTGAACACACCACCCCCACCGTGAAATGTGGTGGCAACATCATTTTGGGATGCTTTTATTTTCTTCACCATCCCTGCCATGAAACCGCAGCGACAGGGAAGTTGGTCAGAGTTGATGTGAAGATGGATGGAGCCAAATACAGGGCAATCTTAGAAGAAAACCTGTTTGCAAAAGACTTGAGACTGGTACGGAGGTTCACTTTCCAGCAGGACAACAACCCTAAACAAACAGCCAGAGCTACAATGGAATGGTTTAGATCAAAACATATTTATGTGTTAGAATGGCCCATTCAAAGTCCAGACCTAAATCTAATTGAGAATCTGTACTTAGACTTGAAAATTGCTGTTCACAGACGCTCTCCATCCAATCTGACAGAGCTTCAGCTATTTTGCAAAGAAGAATGGGCAAACCTTTCACTCTGTAGTTGTGAAAAGCTGGTAGAGACATCCCCAAAAAGACTTGCAGCTGTAATTGAAGTGAAAGGTGGTTCTACACAGTATTGACTCGGGTGCTGAATACAAATGCATGCCACACTTTTCAGATATTTATTTGTAAAACATTTTGAAAACCATTTATCATTTTCCTTCCACTTCACAATTATGTGCCACTTTGTGTTGGTCTATCACATAAAATCCCAATAAAATACATTTACATTTTTTGGTTGTAACATGACAAAATATGGAAAATTGAATACTTTTTCAAGGCACTGTAATATAATGTAAATTGATAAGTGGAGTCTACATCAAATAGACTGCCGCTTTTGTAAAAGGTCTTCGTGTGCATCAGGTATTTTCTCACCAGGGTCTGTAACATTAAACAGGTAATTCATCCTTCCAAGATCCTTTTAACAAGAGTTAACTTATTTGAGTAAACATGGTGTTTAGGCAGAAAATAATAAATGTATTGTCTAACATACTGTAGATTACTGGCAGATATGCATAAACCCTCTGTGAAACTGAAAGGCAGTATGAAATGCCTGATTCTGACAGTGAGAGTATATCTGTTCCATGTGTTATTTGGGACTGCAATCTACTCTGAAGCAGTCAGCTCAAGTTTTAGCAGGCAAACAAAGAGAAGATATCATGAATGTGACTTTCATAAACTAGGGTTTTTTTTTACTAGAACCCATGCAATTTGTATATTAAAAAATTATGCTGTAAGTTCAACAGTATGAACAGTTTTCTTTCTTTCTTTCTGAGTTTGTGTTGCAAATTTTCTGGTTTTTTTAGGTCCTGAAGATTTTCACAGATTTCCTGTCCTTCATGGTTCTATTCAACTTCATCATCCCTGTTTCAATGTATGTCACCGTAGAAATGCAGAAATTCTTGGGATCTTTTTTCATTGCATGGGATAAGGAAATGTATGATGAAGAAATAAAAGAGGGAGCTTTGGTCAACACATCTGACCTTAATGAGGAGCTTGGGCAGGTGAGCAAAATATTTGGAAAGACTACTAAAATTTGAATAACTTTTGTTTCCTGTAAGTCACCAGTAGTGATAAGCAAGGTCGCATGATAGCAGTCCACCAGTCCAATCAGCCAATTTGGCCATGTATCCATATTAAGTTAATGATATTAGTTTCCCTGCCCCTTTGTTACGTGTGGTGGGGAATTACCCGGCCACGGCTGATTGGGCCAGGGACCTGCTTTTGTGTGATGGATGGTTTCCCAGAGGTTCAGGCCGAAGCTGGTTTGGCGCACACCTAAGCTTATCATTAGTCATCAGTTAGTCTCAAACAAATCTCTAATCCTGTTCATGCTGCTCAATACAATTGAGTTCTAAATGGTTTAAAAGGCATATTTTATTTCCACCTTCAGATATCTATTCATCGGTAAAACATGGTATAAACACACAATTTCAGTGTAACGTTTTACTTTTTTAGATTTCCCTGCTGTTCTTTAATCTTTTTAGTTTTTAATATTTCTTTGTTTTTTCTTTAAATAAGCCACAGTAAACCTTTTTAACAAATGCGTTTTTATCTTTAAATTCTTTCCTGGCCCTTCCGTTACTCAGATATAACATGTTATGTCCTGTTTGATGAAACTTTGTAAACTTTACCAGTCACTTAATAGTCTGTAATATGATGTCTTTCTGAACACAGTTGTCACGCCTGACTTACATAGTTTACACAGATATGCCTTTATAGCGTGTCTCAGAGTGTACATTTTTCAGATGCTGTAGACGTACTCTATGGGGCCTGTTGTCAGGCATGAATTTTAAGGAAATGCTTGGCATGTGTCATTTATGAGAAAAGGCGGGGGGGGGGGGGGGGGGCGAGATAATCCTAATCAATGGCATTTGTGGCATCTAATTAATAAAGATGCCTTTAGGATGAACAATGTCCTATAGATTATTTTACCTCTAGAGTTATCACTTTATTTTTAAACCGAGAAAAGGGTGTTACCTTCGCCTTATTTGTGTACATTTGTAAGGGTCTATGTCGACAGGCTCGGATAGACAAATGCACCATGCTTTTTTTTTTTTTTTTTATATCAGTTTGGGATGCTTCTGAGATCATTCAGGACCGTTGCAACTGCCATTACCCTACATTTGACCTGTTTCAGCTGTTTTTTTTTTTCATTCTAATAAACATGTATGGGAACCAACAAAAGGCCACTGACACTAACAATACATCTTATATGTTTAGCGTCCAGCACCTCTTTGTAAAAGCTTACATGTTCTGTAACCACTTGTGTAGGTCAGGTAGTAAGTAATATCTGTACCTGTGCAAACAACTAAAGTGAAGATATTGACTTGTGGTCTTGTCATCATTTTCGCTTGTGGCAAGCATGTGCTTGCGTCATGCTAGTCAGAGCTTACACTAACTCAAGTAGAATATTTTCTGGGATCCCACCAGCACTGATGATTATGGAGCAGGTTCACCTGGTTGTTTAGGTTGGTATTTGGTCCCCTGTACTTGTGTAAAGATTGGGATCTCTTCCCCACCTACATCCTATAACATACCTTACTTCTGTAAATCTGTTGATGTCTAATTGGTTGATTGACATCAGTACAACCACAGTGCCCATATGTGGATCGAAATTCGGCTGGTCCCTGCTGAACTGGATGAATTTCGATCTGTGGGGAACAGGAGCTGGATCCAGGAGTAAGCTAAGTATTTATTTCTCATTATCTGTGTACCCCTAGACCAGGGGTCTGCAACCTTTAAGACATAAAGAGCCACTTGGACCCGTTTCCGAAGGGAAAAAAAAGACTGGGAGCCGCAAAACCATTGCAACAATTATAACAAATCCGACACTGCATATATTGCAAAAAGCACTCTGGTCATGAAGGGGGTTTAAGGGCCCAGTAAGCAAAGGGTTAATCAGGGCCACAGTGTATCTTCATAATCACAATCATAGCCTTAGGTCAGTGGTGGGCAACCTTTTTTTTCAACTGAGCCAAATCTCGCCAAAACCACGATTGAAATTTATTTTGACAGCCACATTTTTAAAACTGAAAATACATCCCCCATATAGTAATTCATCCCCCATAGTAATTCATCCCCCATATAGTAATTCATCCCCCACATAGTAATTCATCCCCCACATAGTAATTCATCCCCCATAGTAATTCATCCCCCATATAGTAATTCTTCCCCCATAGTAATTCATCCCCCATATAGTAATTCTTCCCCCATAGTATTCATCCCCCATATATAATTCCCCATATAGTAATTCATCCCCCATAGTAGTAATTCATCCCCCATATAGTAATTCATCCCCCATATAGTAATTCATCCCCCACATAGTAATTCATCCCCCATAGTAATTCATCCCCCATAGTAATTCATCCCCCATAGTAATTCATCCCCCATAGTAATTCATCCCCCATATAGTAATTCATCCCCCATATAGTAATTCTTCCCCCATAGTAATTTATCCCCCATATAGTAATTCTTCCCCCATAGTAATTCATCCCCCATATAGTAATTCATCCCCCACATAGTAATTCATCCCCCACATAGTAATTCATTCCCCATAGTAATTCATCCCCCATATAGTAATTCTTCCCCCATATAGTAATTCATCCCCCACATAGTAATTCATTCCCCATAGTAATTCATCCCCCACATAGTAATTCATCCCCCACATAGTAATTCAGTCCCCATAGTAATTCATCCCCCACACAGTAATTCATCCCCCATATTGTCTCAATTCACTTACCTTTGCTCCGCGCGTTCCTCTCGCTGTGTTCCCGCGCCGTTCTGGTCTTCAGGGCGGACTGAGAGAGGAGTTCGTCACTCTGCCCCGCCTACATCCTGGCTGCCCCACCTACATCCTGACAGCCAATGTTCCACGCTCCGCGGGCCGGATTTTTGAGGAGGGAGGGGAGCGGGCGCCCGGCACACAGAAGAGCCGCATGTGGCTCGCGATCTGCGGCTTGCCGACCACCTGGTGGGCAGTGTGCTCCGGAGCCGCAGCAAAGATGAAAAAGAGCCGCATGCGGCTCCGGAGCCGCGGGTTGCCGACACCCGCCCTAGACTAAACAAGCATTCAATTCCCACTGCAAGGGTTGTTTTTATCACATTCCTAGAGTTCAGCTCTAAAGAAGTATGTGGGAGTTAAGGTCCCCTTTAAAGGGATGCTATTATTAAAAAAGTAAAATATTTACAACAATGTCATATTTACATAGCACATGTTTTTCAAATATCAGTGTCTATATCCAGGGGGTGGACTGACAACTCATGGGGCCCCCGGGCAATAGGGGATCATGGGGCCCCTGTGTCCTTGCCCAAACTCAAAAAAGCCTATGAAAAAGGTACCAGGGGCATCTCATGGGGCCCCCTTCTGACCCCGGGCCCTCGGGCAGTGCCCGAGTTTCCAAATGGTCTGTCCGCCCTTTTCTATATCAGAGTCGCTTTTCAAACCTTGAGAAAACACAGGCCTGTTTGCTTAATTGGTTTAGTTTAAGGCTTCCCTTCTGTAAACAGTCTTCTATTTAGTAAAAAATAATATGATATTGTTTAAATGGAATAACATAACTGCCAACATAAAAAATCTAAACAAACAAAAATAACAAATCTTTAAAAATGTGAGTGTTTATATATTAATATTTGTTTTTATGATCGTTAGCTTGGTTCTTTACCAGTTCTTCTGACTGAATGTCACCTATCATAAAATAGCTGACACAGCCTGAGAACTTCTATACTTAGTGACTGTAAAGACTAGACATTGTTTTACCTTAAAGTGTTCCTAAACCTACAACAGTAAAATTAGTCTGTATATGCAGTAAAGTATGCTTGTTATACTCACTGTGGAACCTAAGGGGTTAATCCTCTACAAGGTGTAAAAACACTGTTTGATCCTGACTTCTCTGATCCTCCTCCTTCTTCCAGTGTCCCCCTCTTATCTCCTGATGAGACATATTGTGTGGAGTCACTCTGCCCATGCTCAGTTTGGTGTGTATTGCTAGAAGAGAGGGTTTTTTTTTTTCCCTTGGGAGAGTGCATGTGATCAGCACAGGGCCAATCAACACTGTCCAAACAGAGGGCAGGGGTTCTGCATCATCCTAGAGCAAAATGAAAACTCCTTCTACAAGGTTTAACCAGTCCTGGGCTGGACACTGATAGAAGGCACAAGACTGCTCTAACTGTTGATGAGAAAAGGTACTGGTTTATATTTACTAAAATAATTGCACTTCTGTGTTCTGTGTACAGTGGGAGACCAGATAGAGTGAATGCAGGGTCCTGGGTTTAGTAACACTTTAATGTATTCCCTGCATTAAGGTAAAAATGTCCCAGTGTTTGTATGTCGCACAGGACAGAGGCACCAGCGGACTTCTGGCTCCTGCTACTAATCGTGTGGGGCAGAGCCGAGCCACTCTGTGTGTCTCTGTGTCTGCACGCAGACTGGCTTGAGATGATCCCGCAGGTGCTCCCTCATAGGAAGTGACTTCCGTTGGCGGCACATAGAGAAGAAGAAAAGTGGAGAGCACCGGCAGGGAACCCCAGAAGAAGAGGTTCATGGCCACTCAGTGCAATACCATTGCATGGAGCAGGTAAGTATAAACCTCTTTGTTATTTTAATAACAAAAAAAGACATTACAGTCACTTTGAACAGTATTATACAGCACCTACTTATATAAAAAAATTGCAGTGATCAAGGACTGAAGTTGTTATTTTTTTTTTTTTTTTTCCTGTTTTATAGGTGGAGTATGTTTTCACAGACAAAACTGGGACTCTCACAGAAAACTCTATGGAGTTTATTGAATGTTGTATCGATGGCTACAAATACAGGGAATCTGCAGATGTAATGGACGGTCCTATGGCAACCTTTGGAAAAGCTACTCAGGTAATAACTGCATTGCTATCTCAGTTTTGGTTGCCTAATTAGCCTGTGTAACATACAAACTTTAGTTTATTAGATTATTACGTAGCACATGTGAGAATGCCAGGATGTGACCTGTGTATCGTCAAGGTTCATTATGCAGCATGCCATGCACTGTACCATTTTCTGTAGCTGCTATTGTGCTTTTTCAGTATGCTATGTCACTTTTGTACACCTTGTTCATCCAAATGCTGGGTCTTCACTGTTTAGCATAGTTAGGCTCTGGTATAGTGCTCTAGTATTCTTTGTTGAACCCTTGTCCTTCTGTATGAGAAACATAATGGAAGAGCACTTTAAAACTCAAGCTCTCTGAAATCCAGGCAGTTTCTAATTACATTTATTTTTTCAAACTATTTTTTTATAGTTCTTGAGATATTTATTTTATGAGGTAGCCATTAGAAACTATGGGGTTGATTTTCTAAAACTGGAGAGAGCAAAATCTGGTGCAGCTGTGCATGGTTGCCAATCAGCTTCTAACTTCAGTTTGTTCAGTTGGGCTTTTTTTGACCAAAAAAAAACAAACAAACTGTAAGCTGATTGGTTACTATGCAGAGCTGTACCAGATGTGGCACTCTCCAGTTTTAGTAAATCAACCCCTATGTGTAATCGTAGTGAAGCATCGAAAATGCACTCTGTCCAGTATGTATGAGCTGTCATTAAAACCCCCTTTTATTACGATAGTGACCAAAGTAGTAGGTTTAGAGCAAAACATAAGGCTGGCCATGCATTGTACAAGTTTCTTGTACAATTGTCCTTTAGATCTACCAAAACCATATAATATGAGGTCAAACTTAAACACGTTCAACTTGTATGCAATCGAGTAGGCCCTTGCATTACATAGTTGGAGGTAAATCTAAAGGAAATTGAAAAGAAACGTGTATAATGTATGGCCAGCTGGTTGCTTTTTCAAGCATACAAGTTGTAAGGATAACATTTACTGTATGGATTTGCTCTTTAGAGTTGCATATGTGCATTATACATTAAGCCAGGGGTGCCACAAAGAGTTCAGTGGTGGGGCGTGGCCACATCCCGGTGAGAGCGCTACTGTGATAAATCCCATGCTCTGCGAGCCCAGCCTGCATGCCTTTGTCCTCCTCTCTGTAGCTATAGGTACTCTTACCGGCAAAGCAGAATGCTGTACGGGCCCCCGCCGGCATTCTACCAACTGATGATGTCATCGATTGATAAAGGAGGAGTACAGCCAAAGTTCTTTTGGCTGTACTTCTCCTGTGGATCACAGGAGTGCAGTGCATTCTGTACTTCTGTGACCTGTTTTCAGCTGACAGCGGGCTTAAGTCACTCGTCCAGGCTGGGGAAAGATCCTGACTTTAAAGTAGAGATCCACCCCAAAGTCTGGAGCAGCACCTGGCACAGCCTCTCAGCGATTTGCTGAGAGCCTGAGCCAACCGCTCTCTCCTCCTCTAAAGCCCAATGCTCCATTCAGGGGGGGAGGGGTTGGCAGATCAGACAGCGGTGACTGACAGTCCTGCTCTCTGCTCACAGCATCGGTGAGAACAATCCACGGTCATGTTGTGATCGCTGAGTTCTGGCACTTTGAGCCAGCAGAGGACAGATGCAGCATCAGATTGATGCGGCATCCACCTAGGTAAGTATAATGCAGGCCATAGACGGGCTGTTTATCGGCCGAATTTTCGGCCGATAAATGAAAAATTGGTCGGCCCCCTTGCCGATGCTGCCACCAATGTCCATGAAAAACTTCCGTTTTTCGTGGATTTTCCAGCATGACTGATAAAAATAAATGTGAAGATCCGCGAAAAACGGCCAACGGGCTGGCCCCACTAACGGTATGAATATCGGCCGATTTTTCGTGCGGACATAAATTGGGCCAATAAATGAACCGTCTATGGCCTGCATAAGTTGGGGAAAAAAAATCAAACCCCATACTTCTCTTTTAAGGACATGTCTGGCGGCAGTAGAGCTTTCTGTTTTACCTGCAGTAGTACCCATAGCTGCAGGGCGGAGAGAGCCGTGTGGGCTGAGCTCTCTCTCCTCTCAGAGTTACACTGCACAGGGGAAGAGGGATTTGAGGAGATTGAGCACAGCCTACATTTGTGCTGGGGGGGAGGGGGGGGGGATTTGAGTGGAGGGGGGGGGGCTGGAAGTAGGAATTTGGAGGGAGAAGAGTTACAATCTAAGAGCACTGAACATTTAAAAATGTGACGTGTGGGGACAAGCAAAAAAGCACATGCTCAGACGCACCTCCTGGTGTGAACGAGCCCTCAGACTGGTGTACCCCGGATTGTGCACAGTTCTAAAGGGGCCCTTGACTGAAAAAACGTTGAAAAACAGTGAATTAAGCAATCTATTTTGGATAAAAAGGCAAAAAATTAATTTATACTTTTTTTTTTTTTTTTTTTTAATTCCCATCTGAATCATGAGATGTTATGTGGTTGAGATAATCCTTCAAAGTAGTTGTTATTGCAAAATGTAGTCACAACACAGGGTGCCAATGAAGCTTGCTTTATCTGTGAGTTCTGGCAGTAGTGTCAGTGTCAGTTTCCTCTTCTTTTCTAGGATAGAGAGGAGCTGTTCCTGCGTGCTCTGTGCCTCTGCCACACTGTGCAGATTAAAGAAGAATCTCAGACAGATGGGCCAATTTCCAGATCCGAAAATAAATGTGCTTACATCTCCTCTTCTCCTGATGAAATTGCGCTGGTGATTGGGGCCAAAAAGTAAGAGCCAGATGTAGAAATACATATTGTAAACATTATATAATTTTATATTATACATATTGTATACAGTATCCAATGTTCTTTTCAGTCTCCACCTATCCTACATGGTATACAGTTGCAAGAAAAAGTATGTGAACCCCTTGGGATTACGTGGAGTTTTGCATGAATTGGGCATAAAATGTGCTCTGAACGTCATCTAAGTCACAACAATAGAAGAACACAGTCTGCTGAACATAATACTACACAAACATTAGATGTTGCCATGGTTTAATTGCACATAACATGTAAACATTCACAGTGCAGGGAGGAAAAAAAAAGTATGTGAACCTTTGGACTTAATAACTGGTTGACCCTCTTTGGCAGCAATAACCTCAACCAAACGTTTCCTGTACTTGCAGATCAGACCTGCACAACGATTTGGAGTAATTTTGGACCACTCCTCTTCACAAAACTGTTTCAGTGTAGCAATGTTCTTGGGATGTCTGGTGTGAATCGCTCTCTTAAGGTCATGCCACGGCATTTCAATCGGGTTGAGGTCAGGACTCTGACTGGGCCACTCCAGAAGGCGTATTCTGTGCTGTTCCAGCCATTGTTTTGTTGAATTACTTGAATGCTTTGGGTCATTGTCCTGTTGCATCACCCATCCTCTGCAGAGCTTCAGTTGGCGGACAGATGGTAGTACGTTTTCCTGCAAAATGTCTTGATAAACTCTGGAATTCATTTTCCCATCAATGACAACAATCCGTCCAGGCCCTGAGGCAGCAAAGCAGCCCCAAACCATGATGCTCCCTCCGCCATGTTTTACAGTGGGGATGAGATTTTGATGTTGGTGTGCTGTGCCTTTTTTTCTCCACACATAGTGTTGTGTGTTCTTCCCAAACAACTCAATCTTGGTTTCATCTGTCCACAGTATATTTTGCCAGTAGGGCTGTGGAACATCCAGGTGCTCTTTTGAAAACTTCAAATGTGCTGCAATATTCTTTTTGGACAGCAATGGCTTCCTCCGTGGTGTCCTCCCATGTACTCCATTCTTGTTTAATGTTTTCCTTATTGTAGATGTGTCAACAAAAATGTTAGCATGTGCCAGAGATTTCTGTAGGTCTTTAGCTGACACTCTGGGATTCTTCTTTACCTCATGCAGCATTCTGCGCTGTGCTCTTGCAGTCATTTTTACAGGACAACCATGCCTAGGGAGAGTAGCAACAGTGCTAAACTTTCTCCATTTGTAGACAGTCTGTCTTACCATGGACACATGAACATCAAGGCTTTTGGAGATACTTTTGTAAACCTTTCCAGCTTCATGCAAGTCAACAATTCTTGATCGTAGGTCTTCTGAGAGCTCTTTTCTGCGAGGCATGATTCACATCAGACAGTGCTTCTTGAAACCAGTAAACCCAAAACAGGTGTGTGTTTTTCAAGGGCAGGACAGCTGTCAGCAACACATCCAATATCACCACACTGATTGGAGTCAAGGTTGGCTCACTCCTGGCTCCAATTAGCTCTGGGAGGAATCATTAAGCTAGGGCCTCACATACTTTTTCCTCCCTGCACTGTGAATGTTTACATGTTATGTGCAATTAAACCATGGCAACATCTAATGTTTGTGTAGTAGTATTATGTTCAGCAGACTGTGTTCTTCTATTGTTGTGACTTAGATGACATTCAGAGCACATTTTATGCCCAATTCATGCAAAACTCCACGTAATCCCAAGGGGTTCACATACTTTTTCTTGCAACTGTATGTTATGTGAGCAGGATACAGTTATGCTGCAAGTCTTTTCTGTCAATTCCACATTGTCTTTCTTTATACCAGAACTAAATGCGGTCTAGTACCTCTTCAGTAATCACAGCAGTGCCTAAGAAACTGTGCAATTCTTGGCAGTGTGATGGCATTACCAAAGTTTCCATCTACTCTGCCTCATACAGCATAGTTGCTCACTGGCCAAACATTGCTAAATTTTTGCTTCTTTTCTGTGTTTTTTGTGGCGGCAACAAAATTATAGTGCTATATCACTCATCCATACTTAGAAAATTGCCACTCAACCCAATGCAGTCTATCTGGTTAACATGTGTAAGATGGCCTCAGCCTTGTCCTTTGACCGCTACGACTAACCCTGGTGGGTGGGACGAAATGTGTCAGAGGGTGTGGCCTGTGGAGTGGGGCAAAGCTGAGTCCATCTTACACAAGTTAACCACAGACTGGATTGGTTTGAGCGGCAATTTTTCTAAGTCTGCCTGGCTTTTATGCTTTTCCAGTATCCTCAATACAAGTATGCAGATTGGGGTCTCTGATTTTCTCATCTGCATGCTTGCTTCACGTTATTGACTCAAAAAGTATGAAGTACACTACATCCAAGGAACTGGTGTTGTTAGGAGGTCATCAAACCCCCATATTTTTCTCAGTACAGGTTTCCTCCCAGCCAATGCTGTTCTTAGCTTCTCATGGCAGAGATGGAAGCCTGGAACTTTTCTCCTTCACCTGTAGGATGGACACACGCACAAGAAAACATTTCCAAATGGTTTTAAAATATAATGAGTGATAAAAAGAACCATCAGCTGTTCCATAGAATGTCAAGACTAAGTGCATTGCTCTTGTCAGGCTCTTTATGTTGACTTTTTAAGGGGCATATTTATAAAGCAGGGAAAGTTCAGTGAATGCACATTTGTTAAAAACAGTTTTCATAACTGAGACACACTGGGATGCATTCTATGGAATTTTGGCCTTTTCAAAATATTGCTGCCTATGTTGTACATAGCATTCCTCTGCCTTCGGACCTTTTGATTTGTCTATATTTCTTACACTTCAGATGTTTTTTTGTACTATGTTTGATTTTCTTTAGCAAATTTATAGGTGAGACTAACGTTTTCACAGCTTGTGTCAGTGCAGCCACAAGGTGTTATAAATACAAACTTCCTTTCAGTGTCTCCATTAGATATGTCAGCAGCATCTGCTTGTACACTTCAGTTCCCCCCATATCCCCCCCCACCTCTATTCACTGTGGTTCACATAAGGAGACATGTCTGACATTTCCCTCTTGCTGTTTGCAGTGAAGACATTTTAATGTCACACTTCCCTCTACTGGTGACTAATCAGCACTTCCCAACCCTATAACAGGATGACAGCTTATGAATTTTCTGTGTTTATATATGAGCGCTAATAACAAAAACGTATGAATGCTTTTAACAAACACTGACATTTTGATACAATGTAGCCGATTTTTGGCTGTTAGCTGCCATTTTAGATTAAACTGGGTTTCAAAGTTAAAATTGACATAGCTGTTGTACTTCAAGGATATCCTGTAGACATGTACTTTTTGGTGGGCTTTAAAGCTTTTGTATCACTGTAGAGTTGTGTTTAAATAGTTTGTATATCCTCTTTCTTGCTCCTTCTAGAGAGACCTAAGCATTGGCAGAAAAAACCTAGATGTGTAGGGTAAAGATACTTTAGCTGGGGTTATTAAAGTGGTTCAAAAGATTAAACCTTTTTACCTTAATGCATTCTGCTTCCCACCCACTCCCCCAAATAATTACCTGAGTCCTGTATAGATCCAGCACTGTGCCCATCTGCTGGTCTTTTCCTTCTCTCCACTCTCACAAGCTTGGCAGAGAGCAGCGGGAAGCCATGGACTCCTGCTGCTGTCAGTCAAATCCTTGAGTTGAGTGGAGATTGGTGGCAGGGGCGAGCCGGGTCGTGTGTGTCAAAGGATGCCCACAGCCTGGCTCGGGATCGAGCCTGCTTGTCTGCCCCTGTAGCAAGCACTTGCTATGGGGGTAGACACAGAGGAGGATTCGCCGAGAGCACTGGCTAGGGACCCCAGAAGTGGAGATTCCAGTGCAGAGAACAGTATAACATGTTTATTATTTTAATTAAAAAAAAAGTTGCCTTTGCAAACTCCTAGAAATATACCAGAAGCCAGCAGATCCTTGCCCACCAGTGTCTAGCTATAAATGAAGATAACTTTGGAGATATAAGAGATTGATGGAAAGTCCCATTTATCTACCTTATCAGCGCTTCTACGCTTTGCTTTAGTAGACAATCAATTCCAGTTTGTTTCACTGCAGTTTGGCCCATCCTAACCCCCCAAAGTATTCACATAGGTTCTTGCACTTCTAAGAACTAAGGGCATCCAGGTCACAGGTTATCTAGATTACCTTCTTCTTCTGAAGGACTTGTCTCCCTTCCAGCGATCTGCAAATATCCACAGGACAATTCGAATGCTTCTGGCTTTCCTTTGGGTGGTCAACATCCAAAAATCTGTTCTACAACTTTTTTTTTTTTTGCCTGCAATACTTTGGTACGATCCTAGACACTTCCTAAACAAAAGTCTTCCTTTCAGAGAAGAAGCTGCTCTCCCTTAAAACTCAAGCTCAGAACTTGAGATCAAGAAGACAACCCACCTGTGAGATTCTCCATGAGAGTTCCTGGGTCTCATGGTAGTCTCCTCCAAGGCTGTTCCATTTGCCCAATTTCATTCAAGACCGTTTCAACTCAACATTTTGCTGACATGGCACAATCGGGCTTCTTCTTTCGTTCTACCCATGCTCTTATCTAGCCAAGCAAGCCCAACCTTAACAATGATGAAGTTGTCCCTTCCATATCACTGGAAAGTGATGACAATAAATGCTAGTCTTTCAGGTTGGGGGAGGGGGGGGGATGGGATGTGAAGAGTGTTTCAGTACTTTAAAGTTCAGGAAGCCTGGTCATCGGTGGAACCTCCTGGAGCTCAAAGTGGTAAGAGTGGCTCTGCACTGAATGTGTTGGAATATGTCACCTGTATATTGCTTTTTGTACCTTTCATTACATTGCATATGACAATAAAAAGCTTTAAAAAAAAAAAAAAAAAAACAAAGTTATTCTGCAGTATTGGACACCCCCCTTTCTGTATGACATCCAATCAGGGTGCAGTCAGACAATGCCATGGCTATGGCCCACATCAACCACCAAGGGGGTAATTGGAGTCATGCAGCCTTGAAGAAAGAAAGCCAGATCAGCTCATGAGTGGAGACTCACTGTCCTGCAATCCCTTCTGTCCACATCCCATGAGTGGACAACTGGAAGGTAGATTTCCTCAGTCATGACCACCTAGACCAAGGGGAATGGCTCGTCATCTCAACACATTTACGCTCATATGTCACAGATGGGGGACCCCAGATATGGATATCTTGACACCCAGATTCAACAACAGGTTACCTCTATTTGTGGCAAGGACCAAGGATCCTCTAGCACTGACATTGGATGCCTTGAACTTGGTTTCCATTAATCGATGCTTTCCCTCCAGTGCAAATTCTACCTTGCCTGCTCCATAAAATAGTAGAAGAGAAGAAACTAGTGACTTTCATTGCACCAAACTGTCCCAGGAGAACCTGTACACAGACTTACTCAGACTACTAGGAGATGACCCATGGCCTCTTCCCTACAGGAAGGACCTGTTGTCTATTGCATCCTGCTTTTCAGTCACTGTCTTCACAAAGACTAGGTAGTCTTATGCTTAACACCACCTTCCTAAAGAGGTATTAGTCTTCCATCCAAATGAAGACATAATCCTGACATCACTGTGCCTGCTCCAAAGCACTCAAAAGCTGTTGCTTCAGGTAGTGAAGAACAAATTCCTTTATCAGGAAGACCTCCCTATTCGTCCTTCCCTCAGGACCTCACAAGGGACATCCAATTTGCAAGTCCACCATTGCTAGATGGCTAGCCTAATTCTTCACCAAAGATTACACTCTAAAGGACAAAGCACCTCCTGCACTTTTATGCTCTCACTCCACCACGTTAATGGGTGTTAGCTTTGCATTTCGGCACCTGGCCTCTGTTGCCCAGCTTTGTGAGGCTGCCACCTTGCCTTGTTCATACCTTTTCAGAGTTCTACGAGGTGGATGTCTAATATTCTGTGAATGCAGCTTTCAGGCCTAAGGTTCTTGTGGTGGCATTCTGAAGTTGGGTCCTTTTGACCCTTGTTGGACATTTTGGCACAGTTCTGTTTGCCTAGTTGTTGCTCACCCTTCATTGCTTGGGGATATCCCAGGGTCTTATCAATGCTCAGCCTGTGTACTGTACAATTAAGATGAGAACAATTTTGACCTGCCTGTAAATTCCATATCTTGGAGTACAGTACAGGGCACAGGCCACCCATCCTATTCTTGAGGTAGTCTGCAATGCTTTCTACAAAACTGAGGATTGCACAGTGGGGTAGGGGAGATGTCCAGGTGACAAGTTCTTAAAAGCCTGCCAGTGTTCAATGTCATGAAGTTACCAGCCGGGATCTATGAATACTCAGCCCGTGTCCTGTACTGTACTCCAAGGTATAGAAATTACAGGTCAAAGTTATTATTTTTTTAGGCTATGTTCACAACAAAGTAATCAACGATAGATCCCTTTTCAGAATGTGGTAGAACAGTGGCTTCCAGGAGTTCAGGAGGCAATAACGCTGCCTCTTGAATGCTTTTTGTAAATGTTTGGTTTTTTTTTAATTCCAAATGACAATTTTGCATGAAACTAATGCCATGCAACTACAAGCCAAATGCCCATTGACTTTAGTGGGAGAGTTTGACAGGTGTTGCAAATTTCTCAGCTGGTTGAGCTGACAATTGGCCACGCCATGTGTATGATCCCCGTCAGCTGCTTTGCTAGGCTTTCGGTAGGTGGTAAAAATGCAGCCAAACCACCTATTTTTACTGTCTGTCTACATAAGGCCTGAAAGCAGTAGTGCTGCGCTGCTACTTTATAGATAGGCCCCTTTCATTTACTACTGATTTTTTTTATATAAGTACTTGCTAGCCCTTGATAATCCTTTCATAAAATGTTTGTGTCATGGAACCTTTGAAAAGACACAGATTATGCTTAAAGTCAGTAAACCGGAGTTGTATTGCCTTTTTCAATTTTGTTTTGTTTTATAGGTATGGGTTTACATACATGGGGACTGAAAATGAATTCATGAAAGTAATAAACACAAATAATGAAATGGAGCTGTAAGTATACACTGTTCCTTTACTTGTTCAGCTTCATGTAAAATCTGTAATATATCACATGTCTGTTTTTAATCAAGCCTTGCGATAAATATGTCTACCTGTTGGTTGAGTTATTTATTTAAGCAAACCTTCCAAGGTACAAAAAAGTAAAGCTGGAGTCTCACTGCAGTAGAAGAGGTGTTATTTGCACTTTTCCAGCGGTCCGTGTCTCCTACCTTCCTTCCCTCCTCCTTAGCGCTGCAGCCTTCATCACTCTCTTTGGCATTCAACAATTCTGGGAGTGTTAAATACATGAATCGTCTGGCATTCCATGCAATTCTTTTCTTCAGCCCCTGTCTTGCTGAGAGAAGGGAATCATAGTTTGGCATTGGACACAGTCACTTGACATTTCCAGAAGTGATGAATGCTGAAGACTGAAACAGATACTGCAGTGCTGGATTAGAGCAAAGGTAGTAAACATGGGCCTCTTTTTTTGTTTTGGGAAGACTTCACCTTTAATTTTACTAACACAACAAAGTTGCTTTAAATTGATTCTGCTGTGTAATAAAATAAAATTCAAGTATTCTCCTTGAAAAACAAGCGTTATAATTCCTCCCAGGGGCAGTGGCTCAGATCTTTGCTTTCTTTAAGCTCTAAATCAGTCAAAGTATGTTGGATGCCTGTGGCCCTGCTGCACAGGGTGGTTCCACCCATTGTGTTAAAGGCTGATGGTTCTGCAGCTGCCATATCTCTTGAAGTATTATAACGTAATAAGTTTTTGTTTTCTTTTTTTCTTTTAGTAATTCTACTGACAGTTACTTTAAAGTGTTACTAAACCCACAACAGTAACATCAGTCTGTGTATGCTGTAAAGCATGCTTGTTATACTCACTGTGGAACCTAAGGGGTTAATCCTCTGCATTGTGTAAAAAGGCTGTTTGAGCCTTTCTTCTCTGCCCTTCCTCTTGTTGAAATGGCCACCTGATATAGACTGAATCCGTAGTCACATGCACATGCTCAGTTTGATGTGTATGGCTAGAGAAGTTGTTTTTTGTTTTGTTTTTTTTTTTTTTTTTCCTTGAGAGGGTGCATGTGATCAGCACAGGGCCCATCAGCACTGTCCAGACAGAGGGTCTAAGGATTTCACATCCTAGAGCAGAAAGAAAACCCCTTTTACAAGCTTTAACCAGTGCTCTGCTGAAGTCACAAGACTGCTCTAACTGCTGATGAGAAAAGGTATTTAGCAGTTTATATTTACTAAAATGATTGCGTTTCCATGTTGTGTGTATTGCGGGAGATCAGATATAGTGGATGCAGTGTCCTGGGTTTAGTAGCACTTTAAATAAAGCATCAAATATATGCTTAAAAAAGTGGTATTGTAATGGCTTACATCATAGCAAAAGATTGTGCGCTGCCAGTAAGTAAAGCTGACAAGTAGCACATTGGAAGCTGGAGAGATTATAGGCAGCGCAAGCTGTGAGCAGCAGGAAGATGCGATAGTCTGGAAATTTGTATGGTTCATTGAGAAGTCATGTGATCTAGGAAGCTATAGTGGTAAAAGCGATGTCACCATCCTGGCTCTTCAGTGTGTTGAGGTATGTACATCACAAGTGTGGTTAAGAAAGTTAACAAATCTTGTTGGATGTAAAATAGTGTGAGATAGACATGCATATATGTTTTTAGTAGTTTGGCTGAAGTTCCACATTAATGAGATCAGATCAAAGAGAATAAAAATACTGAAAATAAAAATATTAGTGTTCTGTTTTAACTTCGTATGCAGTTCCCATTAAGGCTAGGTTCATAGACAAGCGGGTTGGGGATTGCATGCGATTTAGAGCTGAAGGCAAAAGGCGCTGCTCTTTTAATAGCACCCTCACATGCCCCAAAACATGCCATGTTTTCATGTAGTAGTTCCATGCGGTTGTGTTGGACCTAAACTTAAACAGAATGGTCTTTTTCGTTTATAGTTTTGTGTTTTTTCATACTTTTGTACTTAGACATTAGATGGTAGATCTGACTCTGAGCAAGCATTTTTGAAGCTATCATGATCTTTATGTGCAAGTTGGTAGCTTGGCATACTCATACTTTAGAAAAGAACAAACCAGTATCCCTAGATCTCAAGCAGAATCAGTGGTTGGTTCAGAAAAAAAAGAAATCAAAGGCTGACTGACAAAAATCAGTAAATTTGTCCTGTAGGTAGACACAGAGATAAATGACACTCTTTTTGGTGAAACGTTCGGTAATGCTTATATCTGTGGGCACTGTTTGTTTTAATCATCAATGATAATTTGTTACGTGCTTCTGTTTCTAGCTACCAGCTTCTGCATGTGCTGAATTTTGATCCAGTCAGACGACGAATGAGTGTTCTTGTGAAAGCAAACACAGGTACATTTTTATATATTGCTATTAAAAGACAGAAGTGTGTATATATCTGTGTGTTATAAGGCCAAAATCAGCTGGCACAATGTTTCACAGGTGGATTATGGATAGGAGAGGTAATTAGGAAGAATACAATTGGCTTCCAAATAATTCTAGAGCACAGGCTGCACTTTATGCCTTGTGCACACTGGGCATTTAGCTGCAGGTGCAGAGCACAAGTGTACCATCAAGCCCCACTGCAAGCAACTTGTTAAGCTTTAAGAGAGGCTGACAGCATCTGCGACTTGATGGGGCTAGACCGTGCGCCTAGCGCTATGAATGCTTATAGCAGTATACACCCAGAGACACATGCCTGAAGTGCAAGCAATCTGCGTTCCAGGCATTAGTCCCTGAGCGCATACTGCCCTTCAAGTAAGGCCTGCTAGGTACCCCCTCCTGCTACAGACGCTGTCAGCTTCTCACAGAATTTGACAGGCTGCCTACAAGTGGGGTGCACCTGTGCCCTCAGCCCACTGCTGAACGCTAGAACCCCATGCACTAAGGCTTAAAGGATAAAGTTCTCCTTTGGAACATGTTACATGTTCCACCTGTTTTTATGGTGTAACATGTACATGCAACCACACCCGTTGACAGATAGCATTTCGAAACTTCTCCCCGTACTACCTGTCAGATTTGAAAACGGCGAGAGCTCCACCCACACGGCCATGTAATTCATTCACGGACTTCCATGAATGAATGAACTGCAAGTCCCGACAGCCGTAGCAGCTGTGGGAATGTAGTTTTCAATGAACTACCACGGTGCTGCGAAGCGCCATGGTAGTTCATTGATGCTTCGTGTCAGAATACCTGCTTGACTGTACATCCCATATGGCAAGCAGATATTCTGTCCGGTCTGCAGGTGACCTGTATGGCATCGTCGATTTACTGATCACTGGTGCAATGCTTTCCACGCTCCTTTGGACAAAAATGCACATTTTTTTTACCTGCAAAAAAATGTGCATTTATTATTTTTGTCTAAAAGGTGAACTTATCCTTTGATGCCCAGTGTGCATGGGACCTTATACTCATGCTTTTCACACACATTAGCTCCTCTCTAATGTATTCAATGCCATATGAAAAATTGATTCCATCGTTATTTTATAATTCTAGCATGTCTACTATCCCTGAGGTAAGTGCAGTCTCGGCCTCAATCTCCTACAGTGATGAGCAATGCAAAAATAAAGTTAAAGGGTTTCTAGTGATGTATTTCTTCACAGAATTTCCCAGCTGTCTGCCTCTCTTCAAGGTTTTATTTTAGCTGTACAGCTATGAGATGTGGTTGTTCTAAGAGTTGAACTGTAAAAAGGATTATTTTAGAATGGCAAGCTGCATAGACTGGATGATCCAGGCATGTGGAGAAACATAGCAGGCAAGATCATCACTAGTTATTGGCGATGGGAAATTTGCTTGTTAGCACACTGCTGGAGCTGCCACAATGTTTTAAGCTGATACTTGTGATAAGCTGTACAAGAACTAAAAAGACTAAAATACAGTAACAGGCATATCCTAAAATACATCATATGCACACTGATTAGTATAGGCTGCCTGCCTATACCCAGAATAACTCTATTCTGCCATGGAAGCCACATTCTGTGTAAAGTTCCCACTCTGAGGGCCAGTGCATATTCCATGCATTTCAGTGTGCTTTTGTTCTGCATCCAAAACACACAGAAAGTAGGTTATGTGGTTGCCAATGTCATAGTTCACATCAGTTCTTGCAGTTCCAGTGCGTTCCGTTTGCAGAATAAAAAAAAGAACAAGCTGCATTTTTTCTGCACAGAATTGTAATGGAACTTGGTAAAAATGGAACAAAAATGCACCGGAACGCACATGTCCCTTTTTAAATTGTAGAAAAGGAGAGGGGGAAAAAAATAACCTGAAATGCACCAAAAACACGCATGCAGAATCGCATCTGGAGTGCATTTCTGTGGTGTGAACCGGTCCCAAAACAACTGTTGCTATTAGCACTGATCCCAAAAATACTGCAGGTTGAGCTAGTCGACCATCGGGTTGTAACAGCAGTGCATCATTCTTTTCATCTCTACATTGCTAGTCACAAAATCTTCCCCATTGTTTGGCTTGATGCTCTGCAAAAAAATGATGTACAGTAGGTTTGGAGAGGGGTTGTTGGAGTAGGCAAGCATTACATCTGCGCATAACTTGCATAAATGTCCCATGACTGTATGCTTCATCATGCCTTGCATGTTGGCAAGTGGTTTTGCACTCATAGATTAAATGGGAGGTATAGTTATTGTGTAGTAATTGTAGTAAGCAGCTTGAGATCACGCCTCCCTGAATAAACAGTCTTTGAGCAGAAGTGTTACTATCCATGACACCCTGCAAGTCTAAACTACTTGCCTCTGTCCATCCTTGTCTTAAAGGAAACCTGTAGTGGGAGAATGTGCGAGCTGCCATTGCTAACTTCTGAAAATGCCGGTTGTCTGGCTGTCCTTAAGCTGTCGTGGCTTTGGTGCTCTCTGAGCCATTGAGCTGGAACACGTGTGTAGATTCAGAGTTCTGACTTTCTAATAGGAGTCAGTGACACAAAGTATTGCAGCCACAGACAGCTAGGCAGCCAGTATCCACAGTAGGTAAGCAGTGGCAGCCTCCACATTTCTTTTGCTACTGTTCTCCTTTAAGATGTAGTCAAGCAGTGCTTTAATACACAGGCTTTTAACAGACCAGAGAAGCTTAGTATAGCTTGTGGACTGCTTGGCAGGTAGGAAATGATTACAGCAATTCCCCAGATATGTTTGCAATTCCTGTGCAGACCAATGACAATGCAGCTGGTAAGATTCTACTTTCCCAATAGCGAGTTTTTAGGATGCAAATAAAGCTCTCCCCACTGAATCTTTCCAGAACAAAATCCTAACAAGGCTGCTACCTTTTTAAAGTTAAAGGATAAGTTCACCTTTTAGAAAAAAATAAATGCACTTTTTTTTGCAGGTAGAAAAAAATGTGCATTTATTATTCTTGTCTGCAGGAGCCTAGACAGCATTGCACCAGCAATCAGTAGATCGCTGATGCCATGCAGATCTCCTGCAGACCTGTCAGACTATCAGTTTGCTGAACAGAATGTACAAGCAAGCAGATATTCTGACAGGAAGCATGAATGAACTACCACAGCGTTTCACAGCAGCATGGTAGTTCATTGAGGACTACAAGTTGACAGCCGCTAAAGCTGTCGGGACTTGTAGTCTCTCAAAAATAACTGTGAATGAGTGACACGGCCCGCATGGCCACGTTTTTTTTTTTTTTTTTTTTTTTTTTTAATTTGACATCTAGCCAGCTAGTGAGGGGGGAGAAGTTATCCTGCTAGCTGTCATAGCAGGGAACTGGGGGGATGCTGGGTGAACATATCCTTTAATCCTCGATAGTCCAAAATTGTTTACTGAAATGAACATTTAGCCGTACTAAATAATGCGTGTGTTTTGTTATTTTTAGCTTGATAATTGTACACTCTGCAGATTTTGTGAACACAGTTAACTTTTTTGTTATGTATATGTAGGTGATTTAATGACACGGTCCCAGTCATCAATTCTGCCTATAAATGTTTAAAAGACTTAATGCCAGAACCTCCCCATTTTTTTTTTTTTCTTTACAGAAATCGCCACTCCTGTCCATATGTTTTCATATTAAAGGCTATGTTTTCATGGGAGTCAGCTAAGACATGCCGAGATGCTGTAACATATTGTGCTTTTTTTCATGTTTCTTCTGTTTCAGGACAGATTTTTCTTTTCTGCAAAGGAGCCGACTCTTCTGTTTTTAACAGAGTGGCACGGGATGAGATTGAGCGGGTTAAAGTACACGTGGAGCAGAATGCTGTGGTAGGTCCAGAACTTGTTCTGTACATGCCTAGACTGGAGTGTGTAATTATTGTTCAAGCACATCACAGGTATGTAGCACTGCATTCCCGTTACATGACTGCTGGATACATATAACCCCCCCTGCTGGGATATTCCAAACACACATCTCTCACTACCTAAAGAATATTAAGGGCTAACTTCATCATTGCCATTATGTAGTAAATTAATTTGTAGAAACAAAATGGACTGCTGTGAAGGCAGCCTTTTATGGCTAAGGTATTAATTACCGGTAGTTCACTAGGACTTGGTGAGCTCATTGAGGCAGGACAAAATTATAAAAGTGCTGATTTATATAAATAAAAAACAGTGAAGAAAGGAAAATTGCAATTGTTACCTATAACAGCCTGATATCTATTTTCTAAGCTACATGAGGAATTGTCAGTTGAAATTGAATTAGTAATCTGACATCCCATTCCACTCCAGTATCCTGCTGTTTGATAGCCTAATTGTATCTAAAAATAGGAGCTGCTTGTATTGCCCATAGCATTTATTTATTCATATTCAAAATATAAAAGTTTGAACTAATTGGAGCAGCACAAACAATTTAGGTACAAAAATAATGAATGTCTGTGTTACTTTATGGAAAATGTTTTATGTATCTGCCTTGGAGTAATGACAGATTTAAATGTAGACATTCAGCTTTTAGTGAATGCTGCTGTTATTGATGCTCCCATGTGGGTCATTTCTGCCAAATAGAGAATGACCTTTATCTGTATCCATGCTTATCCCTGTACACACAACAGGCCTTAGTTTTCACTAAGTTTTTATGGAACCTCATCTCCTTTTAGGACATGTAAGAACACCAGTTTACCATTGTATCTATCAAACCTATCATCCCTGTCCCACTCCCAGAGGGACCCTCAAATTCATGTTCAGCTAGAATGCTCTTAGATTGATCACATCTTCCCAGGGACCTAATTTTCTTTTCTTGTTCCTGCACCTTAAGGTTCCCCCAGGGTTCTGGCCCAAGTGTTTCCCCTAGTGCCTTTGTATGGCATCCCCATTGTGGGACACTTTAAACAGCCTGTTGAGGAAGCAGATTACGTGGGCCCTAGTGGACAGCATTTTCCTGAAGGTTCAAACATCTTGAAGATTTGACTGGATCTTGTAAGCTGGTCAAACCAGCATGGTTCTGCAATAGTATAACCTACAGCTTCCTCACACTCCGCTACTTGTCCCATGGCCAGGGAATTGCCCACTTTTCAGTTGCTGTAGGAAAATGGTGTGTTAGGGTCATTCTCTCTGAGACACTCTCTTTTTAGACCAGCTCAGGATTTGCCTCTGCTATTTTGGAGCAAGTTTCTAAGCAGACTAGACTACTAACCCCTGAGACACAAGCAGGGCAAACTATAAAATTGATTGAACCCTGGGCAGCCATTTTCCTGCGCCCCCCTCCAATGAAATTTCGGTCTCCACCACAACATCCTAAAAAACACACATAAACGTATGTAAAAAAAAAAATACATATAAAGAACTGGTCCACACTCACTGATTGGCCCAGGCTCACTGATGAGTTGCTAGAGGTTACTGCACATCCTTACTGCTTAGTGATTGGTTGCTGGAGGTTATTGCAGATCATTACTGCTCACTGATTGGATGCTGAAGGTTACTGTACATTATTACTGCTCATGGATTGGTTTCTATAGGTTACTGTTTATCATTACCACTTAATTATTGGTTTCTAGAGGTTATAGCACATCATTATGGCTCACTGATTGGTTGCTGAAGGTTACAGCACTTCTGAGCTTGTTACTCCTAGAGCTTGTTATTAGAAATGAGCAGAGCATACCCAACTATAAACATTAGGTAGGAACAGAGCCCAATGTGAGCAGCATCCCTGAGGATAGGCTGTCAGGAATAAATTATTAATCATGTTGCCTGCAGTAGAAGGACTGTCTGGTAATAGAGAAGTCATACAGGACGGGAGACTTACACAAAATTTGTCCTCCCGGTGCAGCTCGTTGTCGAGTGTCCAGAGGCAGCCAGCACCTCTCTGTTCTCCACCGTCACCTTCCTTCTCCATCGGCACCTCAACCCACACAAGTCAGTGCAGCCCCAGCCACACACAGCAGCACTCTGGAGCTCTGTCCTGCCAACACTGGCTGTGGACACCTTGCTATCTGAGCCAGGCCACCATTCTCAATGGCCCTTTGCTCTGTCCATCTACCATCAGGCTGCTGCTGATTAGGCAGGATGCTGTAGACTTCCAGGCGGAGGCTGCATGTGCTGTGTGTCCATACCTTGCGGAGTGTGAGCACTGGAAAGCAAAAGGAGATGTAGCGCCACCCCAAAGGAGCCACTTAGTAAATTTGGGTTCTCTCCTCTGTGCCCCCATCCAGAGCTACATCCCTGTACCCCCCCCCCCCCCCCCAGCTCACCTCTAAATCCCTCCCTGTTCACTTTTATACCCACACATACATAGCTCACCATTTCATCTTCTGTCCACAGTTCGCCTTTGTACTCCTGTGAAAAACTCAACTCTTCCCCCCACATCCACAGCTTACACCCCAAGCTGTGGATGAGGCAGTTTACACAAATTGCCCCCTCCTTACACAACTTTCACAAATTCACCAACCACCTTTTCCTCTCCCTTCAGAGCTCTCACCTCGTCACATATTTAGTTCCCCACCTCTTTATAGCTGTCGCCTCTTTTCACAAATCCACCAATCATCCTTGTTCACAAATTTACCCTCCCTCCTTCTCACAATCCTCATCACTTCACAAATCCCTCCACCCCCCAACTGGCACCCCTCCAGCCTCCCTACAGCTGATTTTCTGCACAAGCAACCTCCCCCAATAGTTCTCACTTACCTGTTTACAGAAGCTTCACAATGGTGCAGCAGGTACTGCTCTGCTAGGTGTGCGTGGGCTCTTTCTCCAATACTATGCAGTCTCTGCCTATCAGACCTGTAGCACACAGCCAGAACACTTCACTCGGCTGTGTGCTACACAAGTCTGACAGGTGAGGGTGGAGGCAGGGGAACACAGAAAGCTGCTCTGCCCTACTCCAGTCCTGCAGCCCACAGCTGTGCTTCCCCTCAGTCACAGTGTGGCTGCTGTATTAACCCCGCCAGGAGAGCAAGCGGAGGGGGGGGTGTTAGGGAAGAGAGAATCAGCTGTATCTGATACAACTTGGAAACTATTTGTGGGTAGCAAGGGCTCAAGGGGCAGCTGCTTTGGGCCCCAGAACAATGACAAGACCTGGGGCAGCTGCCCCTTTTGCCCTGTGTTAAAGACTGCACAAGTAGTTCCCATCCTGGTTAGTTGGCAAAGGTTGGGGTTGCTGAATATTTTCCTTCCCACCTTCTGGAAAGTCATCATGGAGCTTTCCCTCCCTTCTCTACGTTGGAGTCCCAGAAAAAGTGGTTCCTCCAACATCGGCATTATTCCCTGGACAATTCTCCTGATACCATTGGACAAAATCACAGTCCTTACATGTCTCTACCATCTAGGAGTAGCAGCAGGAGATTTTGCTGTGTTTTTTGACCTACGTCATTCTCAGGGTTTTTCCTCGCATTTTGAGGTGAATGTCTGTTCTAGCAGCCATCCTAAGTATGCGGCTCTTTGTCCCTTTTGATCCTTGGAATCAGGTGAGTTGAGGCTTAGGGCCCTACTCTAATTGAAGCAATGTGGTCCGTTTTCAACCAGGACATTGTTCTAGGTTTCTGTGTTCATTCCTCAAAGGGAGCTCTTTTTTCCTTTTCAACACTTTTCAGATTGTGAGTCTTTCCGTGTTGAGAAAATTGTTGCTCGTTCCGTCCCTCTGGATGGATCCAGGTTGACCAGCTTTTGGTCTATGGTTTGTTGTTTTTATTCCATATTGACACATTCTTTACCAATTAGGTCACCCTTCTGATCTTCTGGCATACTTTCCCATCCTTTTCTTCTTGGTCTGTTACCATGTTCCACTTAGCCGGCGGGGGAGAGGGGGGTCAGCCTTATCTGGTTTTAGGTTTGGGCATTGGTCCTTAATTCGCTCTATAGCTGTAGGCAGTTCACAGATTGTTGGGGCTGCTAGTGATTGCTTGTTGTTACCTATCCCCAGGATGACTGCTTTTGGACATCTCTACAGTTGGTGACTTCCTATGTCCTTGGACTGGCATACATTTTTATTTGCCAGTGAATGATCCTTCTGCAGCATAACATGTCAGTTGATGACTTCCTGTGCCTCTGAATGGACTCCTGGAAAAGGACATTAGTGCGAGTACAATAATCATATATTTCATGTTTGGTAAAAACAGGCGTGCTAATTACACTGCACAGCACAAATGGATAAGGGTGAAAAATAGGAACTGCAGGAAGTCTGCAGTAACTATTGGGATAGAATGCTTATTGTGGATGGAAGATGAAGAGTCCATGTGCAGAACACCTGAAATTACCTTGGAAGACCATGTTGTAGGTACACCAAAATCTGAGGTAATTAGGTTCAGTCTGATTGCATAGGAGATTCTGCCAGAAATCCCTCAAATGCTTGATGTGGTCACGTTGTAGTGAAGGATTACCTTGCTTAAATAAAGCCCCCCCCCCCCTTTTTTTTTTTTTTTTTAGGATGGATACCGGACCCTGTGTGTGGCATTTAAGGAATTAACTCAAGAGGAATATGACAAAATTAATAAGCAGCTAAATGAGGCAAAAATGGCCTTGCAGGATAGAGAAGAGAAACTGGCCAGAGTGTTTGATGACATAGAAGATGATATGCACTTGCTTGGAGCTACTGCAGTAGAAGACAGGTAAACAGCACCCGTAAACAATAAAAGTTTTGTTAAAAAAAGTTCCAGCTGGATCTCTTTATTGTGTCAGTAGAGAGATTCAAAAATACAAAATATGGGCTCCTGAGGTACCTACTAAAAACAGAACATTTGTTGTCATGGCTGATTGAGACTGTAAATGCAATAATTGGTGACTGTAAATGCAATAATTGGTGGTGGTTATAAACTGCAGCTTGGAACAGGCATCCACTATGCTATGTTGGTATATAAAGGGAATTTATTTTATTTTTTTTACTTAACATAAAGGGTGAACAGCATATCCAGATTTTCTACTGCAAGCCATCCAGACACAGACCATTCCACCAAACTCTGTTGATGATGCCAGCTCAGAGATATAAATACTTTGCTGATGATTTAAAAGCCAAGCAGTCAGAATAAATTTCTGCTAACAAAAGGTGCCTATTTGTAATTTGGCAGCGCATTTTCTGCTTATTGCAAAATTTTCTATAAAATATTTGCAGTAGGAAAATGTGGCATAAACCAGCAATTGTTTTGTTTGCAATTGGTCTTGAATAGAAGACAAGGGGGGGTTACTTAAACTGGAGTAGACAGAATCTGTAGCAGCTGTGCATGATAACCAATCAGCTTCTAGCTATAAATTGTTCTGTTGAGCTTTGAAAATGAAGAGCAGAAATTGATTGGTTGCCATGCTGATTCTGTATGCTCTTGTCTTCACAAGTTTCCTCTGTTTGTGTAAAATGTAATTATTGAACGTAAAATTAGAGACCAGGATTTTACAAGGGTATACTAGAATGTAAAGGTACTTTTGGCCACTAGTATCGATGTATTCTATTCATAGTCATTCATTTTTCTGCTAGTGAATATGAATTAAATGGTGCTTGGAACAGTTACACCCAGTGACTGTCACTTCTATGGATCTCAGCTCAGCTCATCCTCTTATGGTGACTCACTTGTACTAATTAGAGAGGCAGTGTTCATATTGCGGTCATAAGAAAATATAGTTACTAACTACACTTTTTAAAACCATAAAAATTATTTTTGTAATTTGGATACCAACCCAGCTTGGGAATGGAGGGCCCTTTAAACTTGTGCACTTGTGTAGCCAGATCCAATAAATACGGATACAGTCAGGTCCATAAATATTGGGACATCGACACAATTCTAACAATTTTGAATTGAGGGTATTTACATCCAAATAAGCTGAACGGTGTAGAAATTACAACAGTTTGCATATGTGTCTCCCACTTGTTAAGGGACCAAAAGTAATGGGACAATTGGCTTCTCAACTGTTCCATGGCCAGGTGTGTGTTATTCCCTCATTATACCAATTAGAATGAGCAGATAAAAGGTACAGAGTTAATGTCAAGTGTGCTATTTGCATTTGGAATCTGTTGCTGTCAACTCTCAAGATGAGATCCAAAGAGCTGTCACTATCAGTGAAGCAAGCCATCATTAGGCTGAAAAAAAGAAGGAACGCACCGGTGAGCTCAGCAACACCAAAAAGACCCGGAAGACCACGGAAAACAACTGTGGTGGATGACCGAAGAATTCTTTCCCTGGTGAAGAAAACACCCTTCACAACAGTTGGCCAGATCAAGAACACTCTCCAGGAGGTAGGTGTATGTGTGTCAAAGTCAACAATCAAGAGAAGACTTCACCAGAGTGAATACAGAGGGTTCACCACAAGCTGTAAACCATTGGTGAGTCTCAAAAACAGGAAGGCCAGATTAGAGTTTGCCAAATGACATCTAAAAAAGCCTTCACAGTTCTGGAACAACATCCTATGGACAGATGAGACCAAGATCAACTTGTACCAGAGTGATGGGAAGAGAAGAGCATGGAGAAGGAAAGGAACTGCTCATGATCCTAAGCATACCACCTCATCAGTGAAGCATGGTGGTGGTAGTGTCATGGCGTGGGCGTGTATGGCTGCCAATGGAACTGGTTCTCTTGTATTTATCGATGATGTGACTACTGACAAAAGCAGCAGGATGAATTCTGAAGTGTTTCGGGCAATATTATCTGCTCATATTCAGCCAAATGCTTAAGAACTCGTTGGACGCCGCTTCACACTGCAGATGGACAATGACCCAAAGCATACTGCAGAAGCAACCAAAGAGCTTTTTAAGGGAAAGAAATGGAATGTTATGCAATGGCCAAGTCAATCACCTGACCTGAATCCGATTGAGCATGCATTTCACTTGCTGAAGACAAAACTGAAGGGAAAATGCCCCAAGAACAAGCAGGAACTGAAGACAGTTGCAGTAGAGGCCTGGCAGAGTATCACCAGGGATGAAACCAAGCGTCTGGTGATGTCTATGCGTTCCAGACTTCAGGCTGTAATTGACTGCAAAGGATTTGCAACCAAGTATTAAAAAGTGAAAGTTTGATTTTATGATTATTTTGTCCCATTACTTTTGGTCCCTTAACAAGTGGGAGGCACATATGCAAACTGTTGTAATTCCTACACCGGTCACCTGATTTGGATGTAAATACCCTCAAATTAAAGCTAACAGTCTGCAGTTAAAGCACATCTTGTTCGTTTCATTTCAAATCCATTGTGGTGGTGTATAGAGCCAAAAATGTTAGAATTGTGTCGATGTCCCTATATTTATGGACCTGACTGTATATGGCTTCCACACCAAGCACATAAGGGCTTACTTAAATGCAGGAGCAAAGCCTGTTCACTTTGTAAAGTGACATTTCACTTTAAAATATAGGTTTACATTTGATAAGAGAACAGTCTCTTATTACCTTTTGTAAATCAATTGGATTAGTATACATGCAACCAGGGCTTTCTTTCTGCCGGAACGCGGCGGTACTGCGTTCCGCCACCTTTTTCTTCTTGTCCCCGCTCACCGACTGCCTCTGCAGAGCTGACAAGCTATGCAGAGCAGCGAAAGTGACAGGTGCCGGACGCGGCTTGTTTATGTCATGCTTGCGCGTGCCCGGCACCTGTCACTGCCGCTGCTCACAGCCGGTGAGCGGGGACATGCACGCTTCACCCCCCCCCCCCTCTACCGCCAGCGTGTAAACATCGGGGGCGCGGACGATGGGCGAGGACACTATGCACGCTTCACCGCCCCCCCCCGCCGGCGTGTAAACATCGGGGGCGGCGCGGCGACATCAACGGCAGTGACAGCGTGGACGCAGGGGCCGTACAGCTTGGAGTAGGTAAGCTGCGCTCGGCTCCCTGTCACTGACTGCAGTATCATGTATTGCTCTAAATTTTTACTCTCTCCCCAGCCTGTGCCCACCTAAACTATCCCAACCACCTGTGCCCACCTAAACTATCTGAGCCCACCTAAACTATCCTCACCCACCTGAGCCCACCTAAACTATTTCAGAACGCAATTGCTCAGCGCTCAGCGGCGCCGATCGAGAGCGCCCCTCCTGTGCATGAGGAACAGGAAAGATAAATTCAGTGATGGACGGTATTTTTTGGAGGAAAAGGTGGCAACCCTAGGGGAGCCTGTAGGAGCAGGCACATCTACCAGACAGGGTACACATGCATGCTAGACTGATTTTATATCTATGCTGGACGTTTACAAACGGCCTGCCATGATTTTATATCTATGCATGTGTTCCTGGTGTCAGTACGGTACTGATTTTATATCTATGCGTGTGTTTCTGGTGTCAGTACGGTACTGATTTTATATCTATGCGTGTGTTTCTGGTGTCAGTACGGTATTCATTTTATATCTATGCATGTGTTTCTGGTGTCAGTACATTAGTCATTTTATATCTATGCATGTGTTTCTGGTGTCAGTACATTAGTCATTTTATATCTATGCATGTGTTTCATGCAGATCATGCAAGAGGCAGCCGGGGGTCCGATGACATCATTTCCCTTATATGGTATGTACGGGAAATGATGTCATCGGAAGCCCCTCCCAAATTTTACTTGCATTCCTGTTCTCTAAAGGGGTGGTCCTAGGGTTTGATGGGGGCGTGGCCAGGTTTGGGTGGGGGAGTTCCACCACCTTTCCTCTGAGGAAAAAAGCCCTGCATGCAACTATAAACACTGTGCAGCTGGATTTTCCATTCTGTTAATTCATTATCAGCAGATAATGATCAGACTGGGTAAACATGTGCTGCCCATACATGGGCCTTTCTTCAATAGACTAGGTCTAAACTACTCAAAGCTGAACTTTAGGCAGACATGCAATCACAAATGTATTTGTATTCATTATTGCATCTTTAAATATATATTTAAAGCAATGTTAACTCCAAAAGCAAACATTTATAATATTGTCGCTTACCAATTCTTAGATGTTATGGCTGCATTCATTTTCTTTTTCAAGCTTTCTTCCCCTTTTCACCTGGTGATCCAGTCTGCATGTCTGTTTTCCAAAAGAACAAACTCTCTTGCAAATTGTATCAGTTGAGAAAGGGATGAGAAAAACCATTTACCACTGACGGGTAACTATAGTGATCAGATTTTATTTATGTAAAACTATTATCCCGTAATATAGAAAACTGCTGTAACTGCCTATAGAGCAGTGGTTCTCAACCTTTCTAATGCCGCGACCCCTTAATACAGTTCCTCATGTTGTGGTGACCCCCAACCATAAAATTATTTTTGTTGCTACTTCATAACTGTAATTTTGCAGTGGGAGGAATAGTGCCCCATCATTGGTGTCAGTGGGAGGAATAGTGCCCCATCACTGATGTCAGTGGGGAGGAATAGTGTCCTATCGTTGGTATCAGTAGGAGGAATAGTGCCCCGTCGTTGGTGTCAGTGGGGGGAGGAATAGTGCCCCATCGTTGGTGTCAGTGGGGGGAGGAATAGTGCCCCATCGTTGGTGTCAGTGGGGGGAGGAATAGTGCCCCATCGTTGGTGTCAGTGGGGGGAGGAATAGTGCCCCATCGTTGGTGTCAGTGGGGGGGGAGGAATAGTGCCCCATCGTTGGTGTCAGTGGGGGGAGGAATAGTGCCCCATCGTTGGTGTCAGTGGGGGGAGGAATAGTGCCCCATCGTTGGTGTCAGTGGGGGGAGGAATAGTGCCCCATCGTTGGTGTCAGTGGGGGGAGGAATAGTGCCCCATCGTTGGTGTCAGTGGGGGGAGGAATAGTGCCCCATCGTTGGTGTCAGTGGGGGGAGGAATAGTGCCCCATCGTTGGTATTAGTGACACCAATGATGGGGCACTATCCCTCCCACTGACACCAATGATACTTACCTTGCTGACTCCTGCTCCAGCCTGGGCTCGCTCTCCCTCTCCCATCTACAGCCTGCATACCTGGCTGCAGCAGCAAAATTTGCACTTACCTGTCAGCTGTCTTCCTTCTCTGGCCTCTCTCTTCACTCGCTCCTGCAGCTCCCTCGATCTTTGTTGATCTCCGCGCGCTGCCGCTCGGCTCCTCCTCTCCAAACTCCACCTCCTCGCCGGTGATTGGCCGCCTGTGTTCCTCTCCTGAGCTACAGTTCCGGTGGCCAATCAGCGGCGAGGAGGCGGAGCTGTTGAGTGATCCCGGAGGTGTGGCCAGGTGACAGGGGCAGCATATCATCCCGCCCACAGATCGCCTGAGACAGGAGCGGTGTCTCGGTTCCTAAGACCATCGGAAATATGTGTTTTCCGATGGTCTTAGGCGACCCCTGTGAAATGGTCGTTCGACCCCCAAAGGGGTCGCGACCCCCAGGTTGAGAACCGCTGCTATAGAGTATTAGCTGGTGTTTGGCTTCAGTTTTTTAGTACACTACAAAAAAAAATTAGACACTAAAAATACAGCAGATCTCAATAGGGAAAAATACCATGTTGGATATCTCTACTGATATGGACTAGGTAATGTGTTAGGAATGTGAGGATGCCCCATCATTTGATGGAAATGAACATTATCAACCTACAGAGGAGTGAATTCAAAGACACCCTGAAAATCAAAGTGAAAAAAAAAAATGTAGCAGGCGAGTCCATTTTGCTGAAATGTCATTGCAGCAACTCAAAATGGTACTCAGTACTTTGTATGGCCCCCACGTGCTTGTATGCATGTCTGACAACATGGGGGCATGCTCCTTATGGGACGACGGATGATGTCCTGGGGTATTTCCTCCCATATCTGGACCAGGGCATCACTGAGCTCCTGGACAGTTTGAGGTGCAACCGGATGGTGTCAGATGGACCAAAATATAATATCCCAGAGGTGCTCTATTGAATTTAGGTCAGGCGAGTGTGGGGGCCATCCAATGGTATCAATTCCTTCATCAAAATAACAGAAGCAAAAAGCCTAAAATAAAGAAAACTAATGCAGAAACCACTTCTGATGATTGGTAAGCTACAATATATTACATTTTTGGTTTTGGGTTTAATACTACTTTAAATGCCAGTGTTGTATGCTCTTAAATTTCACTTGGTATCAGCCTCTAGCAGGTCCCTATACAGTGGAACTCAGACTGGGTGTAGGAGAAGCAGTACAGGGATTCAATCTGTAGTGCTTCAGTGCTTTTGTCAACATAGGACATGCTGATAGGTGGAGAGAGCTGAACTCATCCATCTGCTGCTTCTTATTCAATCTTCAATTGCAGCTTAGGGGAAAGATGAGACCTGTAAGAGTTACTGAACTACAGCAGCGAATAGTCAGGTCTTCTGCCCTTCCAGACAGGATTGTGCTGTGTAAAATCCATTGCTGGATAGACAGAAATACAGACTTGTTAGCAGGACAGCTCCTTCATATGTATTTAGTAGTTTGTCAGCTGTAAAGATTTAGTTTTGGATATAGTGAGGTAATATTAGAAGCTCTGACAGGCTCTTTATTCAGTCTTTGCTTTTGTTAGGAATATTTCCCATCACATTTTAACCATATAACCACTGTCATGGGCACAGGTATGGAGAAATCTCCCCAGAAGGACAGACAGCACTGCAAACCTCACAGATATTTTAGCTTTCTCAAGCAATTTTCTGTTCCAGGTGCAGTTCCAATTTGATCAGTAATTAGGACATGTATGTGTAGCTTCAGCTCGAAAACATGTTAACGCTTAGGGGCATATTGTTTATAAAACATTTACTTTTTTTCTTTGTCTATTGAAGCTACAAGTAAGTTTATTATGTGCAAATGGGGCAAAATCAGATGTTCTTGGCCTATATTTCTCTGAAGAACGAATGAATGATGAAATGCCACTTTATGACAACTAGATGGAGCTCAGGAGTCTACTTATTTTCTCTAATAGTCAGTGCCATCTAGTGACCATAGTGAGGTATTTTCCTCATTCAATCTTTAGGGAATATAACATAAGAAACATTTGATTTTATCCCATTTGCACATATTCAATTGCTATGCAGTTGTGGTATAAATACACCCCTTCGTGTTAAACAGATCTCAAGACTTTAATAAAAGGAATCCATTTTAACTGAAGATCTCTACACTACAAAAATAAGATTTACCCTAAAGAAATGCATTCAGATTTAGTATCTATATTTAGGGACATAGCCTACCTGAGCAGTATCATGCTTTTGGCTGATCTGCTAGCTAAGCATCAGTATTTTACCCAAATCCTCAACCTCTGAATTATTCTGATGCTGTAGAAATGCAATCCAGTTTCAGACCTGGCTATATGAGCCCACTATATCCTTGCCCAAATATACGAGAGCTTAAAAATGAAAAACAGGCTGTATAACGCACAGTAAGCAGAGAGTGAGAAGAGCCTGTAGTACTGGTGGAAGTGCAGCTGATTGTTTCCTGGGCAGTACTATCTTTTCTTATGCAATTGTAGTTATTTCCTGCATTCGTAAATCTCCCCCACAGGCTCTCATAATTTGTAAAGAGAAGCACTCAGAATCTGGTGCAGCTCTGCATGGTAGGCAATCAGCTTCTAACTTCAGCTTGTTCAATTAAGCTTTGACAATAAAATCTGGAAGCTGATTGGTTTCTGTGTAGAGCTGCACCAGATTTTGCACTCTCCAGTTTTAGTAAATTCCCTCTGAATGTCTTTTTGTTATAATCCATATTCTGGAGATTCATTTTCATTGGTTTCATTATCATTACCAACAGGCTCCAGGAGCAAGCAGCAGAAACTATTGAAGCTCTTCATGCAGCAGGAATGAAAGTTTGGGTGTTAACAGGTGACAAAATGGAGACTGCTAAAGCTACATGCTACGCCTCTAGACTGTTCCAGAATAACACTGAATTGTTGGAACTGACAACCAAAAATGTAGAGGAGTGTGAAAGGAAAGAAGATCGCTTGCAAGAGCTGCTTTTAGAGTATCATCGAAAACTGGTACAGGAGACTCCAAAAATTAAAGGCAGTATTAAAAGGTGAGACCCTGATTTAGTAGTTATGAGGGGTTAGAACTCCTATCAAGATTGTATTGACGTCTCTTTTCCTGTTAGTAATATTCTCACTGTATTTGTCCTGCTGATGATTGTCACCAGGACTGAAGATAAAGGGAAGATACAAAATTCTAAATCCTCGCGAGAGCAGAAATAAAAGGAAAATCTTCCAATGGGGTTTCTTTTCCTCTGTAAATATGTGATTATCCAGCACCTTCCAAAGTAAATGTCTAAAACTCCTAATCATGTCCAGTGGAACTGGGGTAGCTGCTAGCAACAAACATGTTCCCACAAGAAATACCCCGTCCTGCTTCCTCTCTGCAGATCACTCAAATTCTTGGTGGTCTGGCCATTTAGATGTTCGGTCTCTGTTATCTGCGGTGTACTCACACTAACAAACGTGTACCCATAGTGGAGTAATTTAGACAAAATGTATTGAGTAAAAATGTTACTCACATAAGTTAAAATAACACAGGCATATATCACTGACAGTGGAGCTCCAGCTCTCGCGTCACTTCTGGTCTCAGCCTCCTGATACCTGGCTCCTCCTATATGCGTATAATGACGGTCATGTGACTTCTTCAGTAGTACCTGGTAGTGGTTAATTTATGAATTGATCAATATTTGATATGAAAATTTGGATGTTTATTTACTTGATGGAATAATATGAGGGAGAAGAGAGATTTTCACTTCCTCTAGTGTATACAGGAAAGGAAAATCTCCTCAATGGACCACAGGAGGAAAATAACAAAACCTGATTGGTTTTATTAATTTATTATTCTAATTAAAAAAAAGTTTTGGCTTAAAGCTTGGCTCAAGGTGTGTGGAGCAGCACCCCCAGCCCCTCTAAAATTTTACTTCAGCCCCATCTCAGTCCAGCAAAGTGCACGAGAGCCTCTGCTTCCCTGGGTTTCTCCTTCCTCATTGGCTTTCACTACCATCAGTCAAGGCTAGTGAGCCAATGAGGAGAGAGTGGGTGGGGCAGAGCAATGTCTGCGTGTGATGGACACACAGATCAGTGACTCAGGAGCCCCTATAGCAAGCTGCTTGCTATGGGAGTACTAGGTGGGGAGGGGCAGTAATGCAAGTGGGGTACCTGAGGATGAGGATCAGGATCAGGTCTGCTTTGTGCAAAACCACTGCACAGAGCAGGTAATTATGACATGTTTATTATTTTTAAACAAAAAAACTTTATTTAACTTTAATGTCTCATATGGTTTAATTCTCTTTATTTTATTATTCATTAGAATACTACTGCTTACTAGCCTTCTTTTGACAGTAACTCTGGTGACTAAAGCTGGCCTTAGATGAATCGAAATTCAGCCAGTTCAGCAGGGACTGGCCGCATTTTGATCCATCTATAGCTGTTCCCGTTCGAGTGGTGTTCTAGTGATCAATTCCTCTTGAACAGGCATGTCAAAAAATTTGCATTCGATCAGCGATGCAGTCAAGTTACTACAGCGCAGATTCATTATTGACATACAATTGGCTGCAGTGTTGATCAGTGTATTCTGAGAGTCGGAATACAATAGTGGTGCAGGCAAATATTTATTATCCCACCTCGAATGTATGGATGGGGGTTTTCATTTTTTTTTTTTTTTTTTTGTTTTGTGTTTTTTTTTATTATCAGCCAGCTAACTGATGGGGAGAAAAAATGAATAATCCATGGCCAGCTTTTAAAGCTATCCAGTAAGGGAAAAGAAAATAATAGCGTACCTGCCGAGAACATTTCTCTCTTTCAGGTGCATGGAATACTTAGTCAACGCTCTTAGTGCAATAATGTTGAAATATCCAGCACACTGTATCTTACTGGGTAAAAATCCACTTTGAGAGTCTTCCATAGAAGCAATTGCATTGCTTCCATGTATTTCACACTAACAATACCTTTTCTCAGCAGTGGAAAAAGGACTGTTGGTGAGAGCGACTGGGATAATATCCATAGGAAATGGAGCTTTTAGCATGTATCAGTTATTAAGTGAGGTAGTGTTTTCACCCATGTCCAAGTCTTTTTTTTTTTTTTTTTTTTTTTTTTTTTTGTATGCAGGGTTTTCTAATAAATACTATGCGTGTGTTAAATGTTTTTTGTAAAATAAACCTTTTATACAAGAAATGCTAAAACGTTTATATATGCTTGAAAACACATTCAAAAGCATATCTTCGCTTTATACAGTTAGGTCCATATATATTTGGACACAGGCACAATTTTAGTTCTTTTCAGGTATTTACCATATTCAAGCTATAGTTATATCATGGATATGGGCTGAAAGTGCACACTCTCATGTTTAATTTGAGAGTATGTACATCCAAATTGGAGGAAGGGTTTAGCAATTACAGCTCTTAAGAGTAGTAATATCCCCTTTTTCAATGAACCAAAAGTAATTGGACAATTGAATCAAAAGCTGTTTTGTGGCCAGGTGTGGGCTACTCCATTATTTCTTCATCAATTAAGAAGGTAAAAGGTCTGGAGTTGATTCTAAGCGTGATATTTGCATTTGGAATCTACTGCTGTGAACCTACATCATGCGTTCAAAGGAGCTGTCCATGCAGGTGAAATAGACCATTGTAAGGCTTCAAAAATTAAACAAATCCATCAGAGAGATAGCAGCAACATTAGGAGTGACCAAATCAACAGTTTGGTACATTCTGAGGTAAGAAGAACACACTGGTGAGCTCAGCAACATAAAAAGGCATGGACATCCATGGAAGACAACAGTGGTGGATGATCACAGGATCCTCTTTATGGTAAAGAAAAACTCATTCATAACATCCAGACAAGTGAAGGACACTCTCCAGGAGGTGGGCATATCATTGTCAAAGTCTACAATCAAGAGAAGACTTCACGAGAGCAAATACAGATGGTTCACCACAAGCTGCAAACCATTCATAAGCCTGAAGAATAGAAAAGCCAGATTAGACTTTGCCAAAAAAATCTAAAAAAGCCAGACCAGTTCTGGAAAAGCATTCTTTGGATGGATGAAACTAAGATTAACCTGTACCAGAATGACGGGAAGAAAAAAGTGTGAAGAAGGCTTGGAACAGCTCATGATCCAAAGCACACAACGTCATCTGTAAAAGGAGGCAGTGTGATGGCATGGGCATGCATGGCTTCCAGTGGCACTGGGTCATTAGTGTTTATTGATGATGTGACAGAAGACAGAAGCAGCCGGATGAATTCTGCAGTGTTTAGAGATATACTGTCAGCCCAAATTCAGCCAAATACAGCAAAGTTGATTGGATGGCGCTTTACAGTACAGATGGACAATGATCCAAAATACACTGTAAAAGCAACCCAGGAGCTTTTAAGGAAAAGAAGTGGAATATTCTGCAATGGCTGAGTCAATCACCTGATCTCAACCCAATTGAGCATTCATTTCATTTGCTGAAGGCAAAACTAAAGGCAGAAAGAACAACTGAAGACAGCTGCAGTTAGAGCTTGGCAAAGCATCAGAAAGGAGGAAACCCAGTCTTTGGTAAAGTCCATGGGTTCCAGACTTCAGGCAGTCATTACCAGTAAAGGATTCTCAACAAAATATTAAAAATGAACATTTTATTTATGATTATATTCAATTGTCCAATTACTTTTTGTCCCTTTAAAAAAGAGGGGATGGCTACTCTTAAGAGCTGTAATTCCTAAACCCTTCTTCCAATTTGGTTGTACATACCCTCAAGTTAAACCTGTGAGTGTGCACTTTCAGCGCATATCCATTATATAACTATAGCTTGAATATATTTTGGTAAATACATGAAAAAAACTAAAATTGTGCCTGTGTCCAAATATATATGGACCTAACTGTATCTGCTCCTCTGTATTGATCGTGTGTGGGTTCATGTATGGGGTTCATATTTCTCCTTGGGCAGAAAAAAATTATTGAAATTGCCGCTGGTGACCTAGCAAAGCAAGAGTCTGCTTCAAGTTAAGTGGAAATTGAGTTGCTGCCAAGATTTCTGCTATGGTAACTCTCTATTTTAATTGTGTTTTGTTCCATGCTTCTGAGTCTGCATAGGAAACCATTAACTATGGGTCTATATACTGTTCTTTGTGCATTTCAGGAGCTGGTCAGGAAACCAAGATTATGGCTTGATAATTGATGGTTCCACTCTGTCTCTTATACTGAATTCCAACTGTAGTTCCAGCCATTATAAGAACATCTTTCTGCAGATTTGTCAGAAATGTACCGCTGTGTTGTGTTGCCGTATGGCGCCATTACAAAAAGCACAGGTGCGTATAAATTAGCAGGAAATTTGCTTATGTTATGTGTATGTAATGACATATGTGTCTCTAAAAATAGGTCCTATCTGTCATGCTGTCAGAAAAATAAATGTGGGTGGTTCAACACTGCAATTATTGTGATTAGTAAATACATTACTTTTGTTAACAGATTTGCAAAACATTTCCAGGCTTGTCTCTAACCACAATAGTGTGTGCAGACATTTGATTTTGGGTAACCCTTTAATTGCTGCTGTTTTACAGGTCTCTTCTTTCTGGCTCATAACATTTTCTTCTTTTCAGATTGTTAAAATGGTAAAAAATACCAAAGGGAACCCCATCACATTGTCTGTGGGAGATGGAGCAAATGATGTCAGCATGATTTTAGAAGCACATGTTGGAATAGGTAAGGATTTACCAATTTCTAATACTTTTATATCACAAAATGAGATAAGAATATAGGATCCAGGCATCAAAACAAAAAAAATGTCTCCATTTTCTGTTCTTGTAATATGAAATTAGTTACAATAGAAATAGTATGCTTAGATTCTTTTTAGGTTTGTGCAAGATCCTTCAGCTTGTTGGACAATGTTTTAACCACCTATCCTAATTCCTCTATTTTGGAGGGAACACTTCTCTTGTGCCCTGTACACACTATCAGTTTTGGGGGTTTTTTTTTGTTCAACCCAGCAGGCTGAGCAAAAAAAACGCAAGCTGTGTTAGTACAGTGTTTTCCCCAGCTGTGCTATTGTGTTCTGACAAGGGTACTGCTCCCCAGAATACAATGGCCAGCGCCAGGGGTGGACTGACAACTCATGGGGCCCCCAGCAATAGGGGATCATGGGGCCCCTGTGTCCTTGCCCACACTCAAAGCCTATAAAAAAGGTACCAGAGGCATTTCATGGGGCCCCCTACCGACCCGGGCCCTCGGGCAGTGCCCGAGTGCTCGAATGGTCAGTCCGCCCCTGGTCAGCACTCTTAGCCATGGCTGAGAACACTAATCGGCTGCCAATTGGCAAACCTTTTTCAGTCGTGCCCTTTCGTCAGAAGCTGGACCAGCAGCCGCACGCACAGGCCGACCGTCAGCCGGTGTCTGTATAACCGGACGATATTTGGCCCGTGTATATACGGGGCTTAAGGTGTTCCCAAATCTTTGAAGTACTCAGATTATTATAGGCAATGAGGTTAGAAACTATACAGGAAATTTTTTTTTCAGTGTTTGTACTCATGACCCTGTCCTTTTTGGGCAATAGCACCTAGGAAAGGATGGTATGGAAACTCTCTGTGCACAGCTCTGATTGGGTAATGTGCTATATATTCATTCTTGAAATGACAATTCACAGTAGGAAAGAAGCTATGCACTGAGTGGATAGGGTTTTGTAGAATATAGTAGAGAAGGCCTTATAGCAGCTAAATGGAGTTTTTTTCCTTATTCTTGTGGCAAAACATCTGATCTGTTAATAAAATTCACTTTTTACAGGGTCATAGATGATAATTAAAAAAAAATTTGGAGAATTGATTTAAAGAATTAAATTTTTTTTTCTCATTACTAACAGCCATTACCTTTGGTCATATGGTTGCTATCATCCAGAACACACTTTTACAACTCATATATGTGGCTAAAACTCTCTGGAGTGCTTTGTGTGCTTTGTGTTTGGGTAAATCATCCTACCCTGGATAAGAGCAAATGTAAAGTTTTGGCTCAACAGCTGCACCTGGACGCAGCTCATCAAACAAATGTGTGGTTCTACATGTGCATACCTGATTGGACCATCCAAATACCTTACACAAATAACTAAGCCCTTCCTACCTACATAATATTCCCTTGGGTTTCTGTACCTTGTGACAGTTTCTTAAACCGTTCATCTACCCCTGCTACCTTCCTTTTTTTGTTCTCTCTCTATTCCAGGCATTAAAGGAAAAGAAGGCCGCCAAGCAGCAAGGAACAGTGATTATGCTGTACCTAAATTTAAGCACTTAAAAAAACTTCTTTTAGCACATGGACACTTGTATTATGTGAGAATAGCTCACCTTGTACAGTATTTCTTTTATAAGGTAAGATCTTTGTATGTATCACTATTATTGATAGTGCAGAGGACAGAACATTGCCTTTGGCCAGATTGGGGTGCCACAAAATATTTACAATGTAGGAATTATGCTATGATGGATCTGTTTTAAAATGCTTCATTTGGCTGGTTTACAAAACTAGCCGTGTGACTTTGCTGTATTTGCACAGGATGGCAAAGTGTAAATCCTCTCAATTAGTGTTTACTACATATGTCTGCATCTTTTTCCTGGCCGCTTAGCTCTTGCAAATTACACATTATGGAATTAGTCTTTGATTTATAGTTACTGAAAATTCTTACCCCAACACTTGCAGTTTACAGCTTTCAATGATGCTGACTCTTGCTGTGTCAGTTCTGCTTCCCTGAACTTCTGGTCTTCACAGTAAAGAGTTTACAGTGGACAGTGCAGTCTCCAGCCAATCCTTTAGTTTGGAGAAGGAAGGAGCAGGGGAGTGCCTTGCCTTCCTATCTGTTTCTGTCGATACAAACAGTTTAGGGAGGCACAACCTTGGTCCCTGCATGCAAGTGTGATTCCATAGGAAGCCTCTGAAACAGGAAAACTGAGGGTAGTAGCTGTGGCACCAGCTTATACTGATATAGAGGGAAGAATTTAATGATAAAGAATTTGCATACTCCGTAAGTAAATTAATCAGTTGCTGAAAGTGCTTAAAAAATCTGAGGGTTTACTATCACATTAAAGGCCAAGTTCACCTTTAAGAAAAAAAATAATAAATGCACATATTTTTTTGCAGGAAAAGGAATGTGCATTTATTATTTTTTTTTGCACAGGAGCCTGCAAAGCATTGCACTTGCAGTCGGTGCATTGATGGTGCAGTGTCAGGCTCCTGCACACTGCAATCCCCCATCTCCCCCCCAAGCTATCTACTTGTATCTTTATACAGGCTTTCAGTTAGAAAACTACTTCACACAAAAACTATTTAACCACTTGCCCACTGCCCTATAGTAAAAGTATTGCTACAGGGCGGCAGGCCTGCGCAAAATCACTTGTATATATACACGATTTGCATTTCTGCGTAGGGGGCAAACAAGCTATTGGCGGCTAGGGATGTCAAAGCACTCAGCGATCGCCTTGTAAAGCTGAAAGTGGAGAGACCTGTGTGTAAACAACGCAGGTCTTTCCCCTGTCAGCATGGACATGCTGTTTTAAAACAGCATGCCTCCCTAGTAAAACACATACAGTAATATGTCCAAAAGTTAACCGAAACAGTACAGTAACATCAAACAGCACACAAGGGGTAAGAGGGCCCTACTCTTTCGAGCTTACAATCTAGGAGGGAGGGGGTAGAGGTACAGGAGGAAAATGGCTGTGGGGGATGGAGTGGTAGGAGGAGGGAAGGGCAGCGGCTGTTAGGTGAGGGTGGGGTAGGCTTCCCTGAAGAGGTGGGTTTTCAGGGAGCGCCTGAAGGTGAGGAGGGAAGGTGACAGTCTGATGGATTGGGGTAGTGAGTTCCAGAGGATGGGGGAGGACCTGGAGAAGTCTTGCAGTCGTGCGTGGGAGGAGGAGACCAGGGAGCAAGATAGAAGGAGGTCCTGTGAAGAGCGAAGGGTACGGGTAGGGTGGTACTTGGGAATCAGGTCGGTGAGGTAGTTAGGGGCAGTGTTGTGAATGGCTTTATAGGTCAGAGTGAGCAGTTTGAATTTAATGCGTTGGGCAATGGGGAGCCAGTGGAGGGAGAGGCAGAGGGGGGTGGCAGAGGTGGAGCGGCTGGTGAGGTGGATGAGTCTGGCAGCTGAGTTCAGGATGGTCTGAAGCGGGGAGAGTTTGCACTGGGGTAGGCCGATGAGGAGGGAGTTGCAGTAGTCAAGGCGTGAGATAATCAGGGAGTGAACGAGTAGTTTAGTGGTGTCTGGGGTAAGGAAGGAGCGTATTTTGGCGATGTTGCGAAGGTGGAGCCTGCATGTATTTGTGAGTGATTTGACATGAGGTTGGAAGGAAAGGTTTGAGTCCAGAATGACGCCAAGGACCTTGGCTTGCTGGGCGGGATTGATGGTGGTGTTGTTGGTAGTGATGGAAAGGATGGGGGGGGGGGGGGGGGCACGGGAAGGGGGAAAGACGAGAAGCTCGGTTTTGGAGAGGTTGAGTTTGAGGAAATGGAGCGACATCCAGTCAGAGATGTCGTTTAGGAGGTGAGTGATGCGGGCGGAGAATGTGGGGGTGAGGTGAGGGTGGATAGGTAGATTTGAGTATCATCAGCATAGAGGTGGTAGTTGAAGCCGTGGGAGTGTATGAGTTTGCCAAGGGAGGAGGTGTAGATGGAGAAGAGAAGGGGTCCAAGGACAGAGCCCTGGGGGACCCCAACAGAGAGGGGGAGGGAAGAGGAGGTGGCGCCGTTGTAGGAAACGCTGAAGGAGCGTTGGATATAGATAGGACGAGAACCAAGAGAGAGCGGTGTCTCTGATGCCAAGGGAGAGTAGTTTATTAAGGAGGAGGGGGTGGTCGACTGTGTCAAAAGCCGCAGAGAGGTCTAGGAGGAGGAGGACAGAGTAGTCGCCTTTGGCTTTGGCGGTTAGTAGATCGTTGGTGATTTTGAGGAGGGCAGTTTCGGTGGAGTGTAGGGGACGGAAGCCGGACTGTAGTGGGTCAAGGAGGTTGTTGTCAGTTAGGTGGGCGCTTAGGCGATCGTAGACCAAGCGCTCAAGGAGCTTGGACATGAGTGGCAGCAGGGAAATTGGTCTGAGGTTGTTGAGGTCAGTGGGGTCCAGGGAGGGCTTTTTGAGTATGGGGGTGATGTGCGCATGTTTTAGGGGGGAGGGGAAGACGCCAGTAGCGAGGGAGAGATTGAAGATGTGGGTAAGGGAGCGGATGAGGGAAGAGGGGGGTGACCGGAGGAGTTGAGAGGGGATAGGCCAGGGGGCAGGTAGTGAGGCGGGCTTCTGAGAAGACTCTGGTGACTTCCTCAGTGGTAGTAGGGCTGAAGGAGTGCAGTGATGGGGGGGTTACGGTAGGCAGGGCCTTGGGTGTGGTGGGGGGGGCAGTGCCGTTGCAAGGTCAGAGGAGGGGAGAGATGAGAGGGTGATGGAAGGGGGGAGGCTAGATGGGGAGGTAGACTGCAAGTTGACTATGTCCTTGCGGATTGCGTCAATCTTGCTATGGAGATGAGTGGCAATCTCGTGGGCGGTAAGTGAGGTACTGAGTGGAGGAGGGGGGGGAGAGAGCAGGGAGTTGAAGGTGGAGAAGAGTCGGCGAGGGCAGTTTGAGAGGGTGTTGATCAGGTCAACGAAGTAGGCCTGCTTGGCGGCGTGGAGGGAGGAGGTGTAGGTGAGGAAGGCAGATTTGTAGAGGGAGAATGCATGAGGGGACCTGGTTTTGCGCCATAGTCTCTCCAGCGCACGACTGCGACGTTTGAGGCATTTAGTGTGGTCGTTCTGCCATGGTTGGAGCGGTCTGGGTTTGATGTTGCGTGTGGTTAGGGGTGCCAGAGAGTCTAGGGTGGCTGATAGTGAGTCGTTGTACGCGGTGGTGGCTAGGTCAGGACATGACAGTGGAAGGATGCTGTCGTGCAAGCGGTCGGCAGCCGAGTGGGGGGGCCGGGTGCAGGTTGCGGAGGTTGCGGCTGGTGATGGTTTGGCGCACTGGGGGGGGGGGGGGGAGTTAGGGGAAGGGGAGATGGAGAACGTGAGGAGGTGGTGGTCGGAGAGAGGGAAGGGGGTGTTAGTGAAGTGGTTAAGGGTACAGAGGTGGGAGAAGACGAGGTCCAGGGTGTTCCCATTGATGTGGGTGGAGGATTGAGTGTGTTGTGTGAGCGCGAAGGAGGTGGTTAGGTGGAGGAGTTGAGAGGTAGCTGGGGTGTGGTCGTTGATGGGGATGTTGAAGTCCCCGAGGATGATGGTCGGTAGCTCAGAGGAGAGGAAGAAGGGAAGCCAGGCGGCGAAGTCATCCAGGAAGCGGGCTATGGATCCGGGGGGCCTGTAGATCACTGCGATCCTTAAGGGGGTGGGTGAGAAGAGCCGGATGCAGTGAGCCTCGAAGGAGGAGAAGGTTAGGGAGGGGGGGTTAGGGAGGACCTGGAAGGTGCTCAGCGGTGATAGGAGCAGGCCGACACCACCACCTTTGTGACCGCCCAGTCTTGGTGAATGGGACCAGATGAGACCTCCATGAGAGAGTGCCGCAGGGGAGGTAGAGTCGGTGGCCTGTACCCAGGTTTCGGTGATGGCTAGGAGGTTGAGGGAGCGGGAGATAAAGAGGTCATGGATGGCAGTTAGTTTGTTGCAAACCGAGCGGGCGTTCAGAAGTGTTCAGAAGTGCCGAGAGAGGGGGGATGGATGTGGGGAGGAGGTGCACAGGTATGAGGTTGAGGGGGTTGCGGCGGCTGGCGGGAGCAGGGGGGGTCCCTGGAGGGGGGGAGAGGTGGTGAGGGGGGCCAGGGTTCGGGGAGATGTCCCCAGCGGATAGGAGAAGGAGAAGGGGTGAGGAGGGTGGCATGGGAATGGGAGGTGCAGGAGCGTGTGGGTCTGGTAGTGGTGGCACGTGGGTCGACCGGGGAGTGGAGTACCAGGAGGAGGTGGTGAGTGCCGTAGTGGGGAGAGGGCAGAAGTGAAGGGGCAATGTAGAGCTGTTTTGGGGGGGTGGGCGGGTAGAGGGAGGCGATTTTTGGGATGGAGGAGAGGAAAACGAGGAGGAGAAGTGCAGGTGGCATGCTGGGGTGAGTGCAGTGCTGTTCGGGACAGGGGAGGTGAAGGGATACGGGTCAGGGCGAGGTGATGTGGAGAGTCTATATCACCGTGGAGGAGTCCACTAGAGTCCTTCTGTAGGGGGAGAGTGGGAGTAGAGTCCAGCAGCTGGCTGGCTGCAATCTGTGGGTGCAGTATGCTGGCGTCCGAGGGGGCATCAGTGGGTCTGGTGGATCGGCGAGTGGAGGGGACGTAGGGTGCGATGTTGGGGGGCGTTGGCAGGCAAGGTGTCTGGTGATGCTGGCGGCTCGGTGACTGGAGATTCGCTGGGTGGTCCGGGTCTGGGAGATTCGCTGGGGACGTCTCGATTCGCTGGGCGACGTCTCGATTCGCTGGGCGACGTCTCGATTCGCTGGGTGGTCCGGGTGTTGGGTGACCAGAGGTGGTAGCTGGGTGCCCGGTAGCTGGGTGCTGGGTGTCCAGGGGTGGTAGCTGGGTACCCGGTAGCTGGGTGCTGGGTGTCCAGGGGTGTTAGCTGGGAGCTTAGACTTCGAGTTGCCAAGCAAAGGCCAAGAGATGGGAAGGACGGGAGAATCCTCATCAACAATGCATTGCAATATCTGGAACGTCAAAAATTTAGTTTGTTCTCAAAATTGTTGGTCTTTTTTTGTTTATAGCACAAAAATTAAATGCAAAGGTGATCAAATACCACTAAAAGAAAGCTCTATTTGTGGGGAAAGAAGAAGATGAATTTCATATGTACAGCGTTGCGTGACCGTGCAATTATCAGTTAAAGTAAGGCAACGCCGTATTGCAAAAAATGGCCTGGTCAGGAAGGGGGGGTAAATCCTCTGGAGGGCAAGTTGTTAAAAGTAAAAAAGGATTTTGAGGAAACTGCACCAGGGACATAAAATACCTCTAATGAAGTGTATCCTATGTCCTGCTGGTTACTGTAAAAATCTACCATATAGTGAGGCTGGATCCTCTTCATGACAGTGAACTTCCATGAACTGCATGGGTTAATTGAGCTGTAACAGTAAAGGATGGCCCCTCTTGCCCTCCCCTTTCAACCCCCCACATTCACGAAACTCCTTTTAGTATTTTTCCAGAAAGTGTTTGACATTCTGTGAAAATAATACAAAGGGTTTTTATGAATGGATGAGGGGTGGAAGGGGAGGGCGAGCAGCTCAATTCTTCACTGGTAGAGTGAAGGTAGTTACCCAATGCAGCCCCAGAAGTTCACTGTTGTGATGAGGATCTAACATCACTGTAGGGAAGGATACCACGAGTTATTCAAATAAGTAGTATTAAAAATGTATTCAGTTATTAAATAACCACTTTTAGTACATTTTAGAATGCTACGTTTTGTACTTTTAATTCCTACAGTATATATACACCTAGTGAGATGCTCAGCATTGCTTTTCTATGTAGCTCTGATGGCAGGATTCTTTAGTTTACAGAATTCTATCTTTTACAGAACTTGTGCTTCATTCTGCCCCAGTTTTTGTATCAGTTCTTCTGTGGATTTTCTCAGCAGGTATGTATGGCGTTTGTAGATTTTTGGCTCATTGTTTTATAATGATGTAACTTGAGCATAACCGTAGCAGTCCAGCAAGATTGAATCACTTTTACCATGAGGTTGTGAGCTTTGGTGGGGTGCGAATTATGTCACTACAGCTGTGAAGCCAACTTCAGCATTACATCATAAGTATTCTAGGAGAGCTTACATTACTGTGAAAACCATGGATTTATAGAATTCTATTTAGAAGAGGAGCTATACAGTTTTCACTAAACTGTGTTGCCCCTTTTTCTCAAGAAATATCCATAGTGCTGGTCACTTTAAAAAGGCCACCGTCTGTATGTCTGTACTTTAAACCCTCAAACAATTATATTGCACAACATTTATCATTTAACATTCATTTTCTGGAAACATACAGTAAAATTAATTTTTAGTGCAAACATACACAATATTATACCCAATTGTTGTTAAAATATAAAAGATGGGGTTGCAGAGAGCAAGTATATAACACATAAAGCCTAAAAATCTTGTGTACCTGTGAAATTGCAAAAAAAAAAAAAAAAAAGGTACCCAAAATTCTTCATAGGTGACACTTTAAAAAGTTTAAAAGTCTTTTCTTCATTGTACATCAAGGGGCACAGAGTAGGATATTTATGACTATGTGGGTTATAGGCCACCTATAGGTAAATGGACACTGGCAGGCTTTCAGAGCGGAGGTCCTCTCCTATATAATGCCTCCTATATAGGAAGTACTCCAGTTTTTTCACCAGTGTTTGTAAGGTGGATGGTCATTAAAAGTGTTGCTGTGCTCTTGGAGCATACCTAAAGGTCCAGAATGGTTCCAGTAGAGAATCGGGGACTTTAATCGGATCCATTTGGAAATCTGTGAGCCAAAATGGATGGTACCCAAGCCTCGCTGGAAAAGGAGAAAAATCCTTGAGGTTTTGCCTGTAATGCAACTTTCTGGCAATGGACCCCGTGCAGATGGAACCCTGTGCCGTTTTAAATCTGACCAAGGCGCTTTCAGAGGGGTGCTATACTGGTCTAAGGTAGTGGCCCCTCAGTATGGAGACTGAGTCCTTGAAGATGTGTATGACAATGCCCGCCATGACAGGTGAAGGTTGGCACCTGACGGAAGTCGCGGACCTGTGGCGGGACTGGTAAGATATCTCCTTTGTTTCTCTTTACTGAGAAAAAAAAAAAAAAAAAGTCTAAATTGGAGGAAAAAGGAGAGGTGTTGTGACTGAGTTTCTGCCAGGGGGAGTGCTCGCAATTATTCCCTAGATGTGTTTGCTCTTCTGTTTTCAGGCAGTAGAAGGAGTACAGCTGGTGCATGCACAGTAGTAGCCAGAAGCAGAAGTCAGCCTTATTTTGTTTGTGGAGGCCAGGGCACACATGGGCTGCTGGGGCCAGGACACAGAGCGGTCTGTTCTGTAGGGGCACGTGAGTACTTCCCTGAGGGGGAAACGTGGACCAGTCAGTCAGGAGCTGCCCTTGGTGGATCATAAGGCAGCAATTGCATTGAGTGTTTTTACTTTAGTACACTACTTGCATAGCTGTATATTGAGATGTGTTTACTAGTGAAGGTGCACAGGTTTGTGATATAAGTAAATGTTTTCCAGAAAGTGGAGTGGGGATGGTGCAGCAAGAAAGGGCACTAATGTACCACCGCCAGGTCCTGAGGAACCTAGCCAAAGGTCCGCTGTAATATCCTATCCTGACAGTCCAAGCCGCTGTGTCAATCTGGCATTGTGGCTACTACTGGGGCTTCTGCCTCAGCATATGTAACTAAGGATGATCTTCAGCCTTAGCAGGTTTAGAAGATAAGATCTCTGGGATGATTGCATTGGTTTCTCAGGGGACAGATCCCAGTCACTGGAACCACCAATCCTGGTGCAGGAATGGGTGGAGCCTGAGGAAGAGCTGGAGGAAGGTCAGGCAGTAGAATTTCTGTCACAGCCTGAGGAGAAGCAGGAGATCTTTGCCTCCCAGTCTCAGAGATTTTTAGTCCAGGACCTCACTGATATGGTAAGGTTTGGGCTACCTCCGATCAAAACCTCTGAGGTTACTTATTCTTCCCTGGGCCCTTTGAAGCCTTCACAGAGTACTTGGGCCTTTCCGGTGCATCCTCTTCTGGAGCAAATTATGTATGCCAACTGGGATCACCCAGACAAGGTTTTTGTTCCACCAAAGAGTTTTTTTTTTTTTCTTGTATCCCATGGAACAAAAGTGTGTTAAGAAATGGTGGTTTCCTGTAGTGGATGCAGCTGTTTCATCCCTGAATAAATCTTTAACATGTCCTGTGGATAATGTCCAGGTTTTCAAGAATCCGCCCGGATAAGAAGCTGGAGTCTTTCCTTAAGGGCTCCTTCTCCCTGGCAGATTCTGCCACACAACCAGCTGTGGCAGCTATTGGCATTTGCCAGAGTCTGACCATGTCAAGCTACAGATTGAAAGACCATCAGAGAAGGGGAAATGCCTGGCCAAGGATTTGGAGAATGCTCCGCATTTTTTGTGTTTTCGTGGTTGATGCTCTTAAGGGTTTAGTTCAGCAAATTTCTCTATTGATCCTCTTATCAGTGCACATGCGTAGGGTTTTGTGGCTGAAAAGTTGGTCGGCAGAACTGCCATGCAAAAAAAAATTGTGGGCAGGTTTTCCCTTTCATGGGGAATGGCTGTTTGGGGAAGATTTGGACAAATATACCCAAAAGATTTCAGGGGTAGGAGTGCTCTTCTACCCTCTAAGAGGAAATCAAAACGCTGCTCTTTTAAGGTGTCAGGGGCTTTGGGTGCTGGGCCTTCATCTACCAGGCAGTTGTTTCGCCACTCACAGGTCCCAGCCTCCGGAGGTTGATCTTAGAATAAAAAACCCAAGGAGGCCCTGGGTGCAAAAGGCATCTAAGACCGATCCAAAGTCCGCCTCCTTATGGTGGGGGGGCTTTGAATTTTGTGTCTGCATGGAGGGCTGTAATCCAAGACAAATGGGTACAGACTAGAATTTTGGGTTTCTAAGATTAAATGTACCAATAAATCCATTATTGCCTATTGTAATGGAGGTTCCAGCGGACAAAAATATTTCAGGGGTTTCAACCAAACCGGTTTACAGTCCCAAAACCAAATGGGGATGTAAGGCCCATTTTGGATCTCAAGGGGCTAAATCAGTTCCTAAATGTTCTGATCCTTTCATATGGAATCGATTCGGTCAGTAGTCGCCTCCCTACAAGAGGGAGATTTTTTTTTTTTTTTTTTTTAGCATCCATAGACCGAAATTATGCATACCTGCATGTACCAATATTCATTCCTCACCAAAGATTTCTACAGTATGCGCTCAGCATTTCCAATTCATAGCACTATTGTTTGGGCTGGCCACGGCTCCCAGAGTTTTCACAAAAATTCTTGCTCCGGTGTTGGGGCTACTCAGAACTTGGGGAGTATCGGTCACAGGTTATCTAGACAATATCTTGCTCAGAAATCGGTTGGTGCCAGATCTGAAGCAGGATGTGGTCTTTACGATGCTGATCCTGGAACAGCTGGGCTTGGTCTTCAACCTCAAGAAGTTAGCCCTGGAGCCAGGGCAGAGCTTGGAGTATTTGGGGATGGTCATAGACGCGGTTCATGCTAAAGGTATTTCTGCCTCCAGGGAAACGTTGCACCCTGAGGAATGAGGTTTGCAATTTGAAGGCCAAGAGCTGTCTTTCAGTTCGCCTCTGTATAAGGTTGCTGGGGAAGATGGTGTCCACGTTCAAGGCTATTCCCTATGCTCAATTCCACTCCAGACCGCTGCAAAGGTACATTTTGTTTGTTTGGAACAAAATGATTCCATTACTGCATATCTCTGTCTCCACAGGTGCAGCAGAGCCTGAATTTGATGGTTGATAACTTACAATTTGGAGAAGGGAAGATCCTTTTTGGCCAGTAGTGTGGAAGTTGGTATCTGATGCCAGCCTTGTAGGTTGGGGGCCGCTCTGGAGGAGACCACAGTTCAGATAACAGTTCAGGTTCTTCCCACCAATGTCCTGGAACTTCAAGCCTGTAAAGATTCAGTCTGACAATGCCACAGCAATCGCATACATCAACCACCAGGGCAGTACCAGGAGTTGAGGTGCTCAGAAGGAGGTGAACTGCATTCTGACCTGGGCAGAGAGATATGTTCTGAGTCTGTCAGCAGTGTTCATTCCAGGTGTGGGAAAATTAGCAGGTGGATTATCTCAGTCGCCGGCAGTTGATTCCAGGGGAATTGGCTTTGCGTCCTGATGTTTTCAAAGAAATCTGCCAATGATGGGGTTGCCTGGATGTAGATCTGTTGGCATCCAGGTTCAACAACAAGGTTGGTCTTTTTGTGTCCAGGGTAAGGGACCCTCGCGCTGCAGGAGTAGACACCTTACTGGTTCCTTGGAACCAGTTCGCACTGATTTACGCCTTTCCTCTGATCCGGCTGCTGCTGTGTCTTACACAGGATTTGGGAGGAGTCTATCTGGTGATACTGATTGCTCTGGCCTGGCCCACGGACATAGTGAAGTTGGCAGTAGCCAGGCCGTGGGCCCTGCCGTATCAGCCAGACCTTTTGTTTCAAGGTCCTATATTGCACCCACCTTTACGGTCTCTAAATTTTATGGCATGGCTATTGAAACCCTATCCTGAAGGATAGGGGAGTGTCAGATTCTGTCATCCCCATCATGTTGGGTGCTAGAAAGGAAGTTTCTATGAACATTTTTTACAGAACCTGGAAGGCTTACATTGCCTAGTGTGAGGTTCACAAATGGCATCTACAAAAGTATGTGATTGGTAGGATTCTGTCGTTTCTTCAAACAGGGTTGCAGAAGAATTTGGCTGTTGGTACCATTAAAGGCCAGGTTTCAGCATTATCTATTTTTTTTTCCAGAGGCCCATTGCGTCTCACTCTTTGGTCTGTATTTTTTTACAAGGAGTGATGCATATGGCTTCTCCTGTCAGGTTGTCTGTGTCCTTGGGTTCTAAACTTGGTTTTGGAGGTTTTTCAAAAGCCACCATTTGAACCT